AATTTAAGAAGAAGGTTATGGTGGTTGACAGTATCAAAAGCTTTACGCAGGTCCACAAATAACCCAACAGGGAACTCCTTTTTATCAAGAGCTGTATGAATCGAGTTAAGCATACTAATAAGTGCATCGTTAGTGCTTTTTTGGGTCTGAAGCCATATTGGCAAGGGCTAAGTATATTGAGTTTGGCTAGATATGAGTAAAGCTGCTTGTATATAAGTTTTTCAAAAATTTTTGACAAGTTTGGCAGGATTGATATAGGTCTGTAGTTGTTAACATCTGTGGGGTCACCACATTTGTGGTGACCCCACAATCCTATATGACCCTATATTGATGAGTACTCTACTCACTAAAGTACTCACTAGAGTACTCACTTACTACAGTACTCTACTCACTAGAGTACTCATCAAAGTTCTGTCCACTAGACGGAATTTCCGTCCATTAGAGTCTAGTGGACGGCGAGGGCTGTTCCACACGACATTGTTTATTATAATCAGCTGTTCCACGTGACATTGTTTATCATAATCAGCTGTTCCACGTGACATTGTTTATTATAATCAGCTGTTCCACGTGACATTGTTTATCAGTATCAGCTGTTCCGCGTCATATTTTTATTATAATCAGCTAATCCATATGTCATTATTGATCATAATCAATTAGCTATATATGCATTATATTTACAGGGAAACATAACATTAATTATAGTTAATATAACTATGTAAACCACTGCATTATATGGGGACTCCGGCGGTGCCCTGGTCACTGCTTCTCTCTCTCTCTCTCTCTCTCTCTCTCTCTCTCTCTCTCTCTCTCTCTCTCTCTCTCTCTCTCTCTCTCTCTCTCTCTCTCTCTCTCTCTCTCTCTCTCTCTCTCTCTCTCTCTCTCTCTCTCTCTCTCTCTCTCTCTCTCTCTCTCTCTCTCTCTCTCTCTCTCTCTCTCTCTCTCTCTCTCTCTCTCTCTCTCTCTCTCTCTCTCTCTCTCTCTCTCTCTCTCTCTCTCTCTCTCTCTCTCTCTCTCTCTCTCTCTCTCTCCTGTTCAAGTCAAGACTAATCCAATTAATTTAGTATTAATTTTCCCTCTATATCACTTTAATATTGAACATTAAAAATGTAATGCAATTCACCTAAATGTTTTGATCATAGTAGGCTTTGATTATTATTTTTAAATAGTTTGCCGATTTATGTAAAACTCATTTATTTAAATTAGCTGACACCATCAGCTGATCTGTTTTGTGTTTTGCCTGAATTTACTTGAGGGCCACTAATATTCTAGTGACCTCGACTAGGACGGGAAGCCGGCGGTTTGTCAGAGGTCCCTCCATTTGTCCTGGTACTTTTTTGAAGTTGAACTTTAAAATTCAACAGTTTTCTTGGGCATTTACGGCTTCGGCAGATAAGCGGTTCCATGGGTTAATAACCCTGGGGGTTGAAAAGGCATTTCCTGTTCTCAGTCCTCCATTGTGGCTTGTTGAGCTTGACACCGTTGCTCCCTGTTTGTGTTACATTTGACCTTTTGAAGAAGTTGTCTGAATCAACATCCTCCAAGCTGTTCAGTATGTTACAAATTTCGATGAGATCTCCCCCTAGCATGTTATTTTATTTATTTATTTATTCATTTATATACAAGAAGGTACATTGGGTTTATGAGAGTACAGAGTTAGTTTAGTTCATTTATTATGCGCCCCATACCCATCCCGTGGGCGGTAGTGGAAAGAGTTACAGAGGCACATAATGGGCTCAGGGACTGAACCCCACAATTCATTTAGCTAAGCAGAGTACAGAGCATTGAAGTTATATAATCTTGTAAAGCCACTAGCACGCATAGCGTTTCAGGCAGAAAGAGGAAGTCTTTCAACCCATCCTACTATTTAAAGAGTATTTTTTTGTAACACTGTGCACCATAGTACAAACATTAAGGTGAAACGCAAGATAGTAGAATTTTGTACTATTCACTTTGTAGTCAAAAAACAACAACTAAAAACAAACTTAAATATTCCGAGATCTAGTATAGCACATATATATACTATATTAGGCTCTGGAGAGCGTGTATTAGGCCTAGGGAAGTTAAATAACATTATTTAGGTTGTCTTCTAACAATAAGTTTAGGTTGTCTTCTAGCAATAACAGTTTAGGCTGTCTTCTAACAGTAACAGTTTAGGCTGTCTTCTAACAATAACAGTTTAGGCTGTCTTCTAACAGTAACTGTTTAGGTTGTCTTCTAACAGTAACAGTTTAGGTTGTCTTCTAACAGTAACAGTTTAGGTTGTCTTCTAACAATAACAGTTTAGGCTGTCTTCTAACAGTAACAGTTTAGGTTGTCTTCTAACAGTAACAGTTTAGGTTGTCTTCTAACAGTAACAGTTTAGGTTGTCTTCTAACAATAACAGTTTAGGCTGTCTTCTAACAGTAACAGTTTAGGCTGTCTTCTAACAATAACAGTTTAGGCTGTCTTCTAACAGTAACAGTTTAGGTTGTCTTCTAACAGTAACAGTTTAGGTTGTCTTCTAACAGTAACAGTTTAGGTTGTCTTCTAACAATAACAGTTTAGGCTGTCTTCTAACAGTAACAGTTTAGGCTGTCTTCTAACAGTAACAGTTTAGGCTGTCTTCTAACAATAACAGTTTAGGTTGCCTTCTAACAATAACAGTTTAGGCTGTCTTCTAACAATAACAGTTTAGGTTGTCTTCTAACAATAACAGTTTAGGTTGTCTTCTAACAATAACAGTTTAGGTTGCCTTCTAACAATAACAGTTTAGGCTGTCTTCTAACAATAACAGTTTAGTTTGTCTTCTAACAATTCCGAAATGTCACCATTGTAACATTTGCCACAACAAGTACTGCTGTTATTGTACAACTATGGTAACACTGTAATGGTTGCTGTAACTTGTAACCCTGTATGCTGTAATAATTGCATTGATATAATCCCAAAGAACTGGGAAGAGAAAGAGGAGAGGGCCAAGTATGCTGCCCTGGGGAACACCAATGTTGATGGGTAGGGTGGGAGAAATTGAATTATTCACAGAAACATACTGGAGCCTGTCAGTAAGTCACTAACATGATCTCGTCGGTACAGTCTTTGTAACATAAATATATAAAATATATTTTAAATACAAAACTTTTTCCGTTTTATCCAAATTCAACAGATACAATGTCTGCTTTTTAATTGCCCATTACGTCATATACATACTATAGTCCTCACCGTTAGTACAAGTACTAACTAAACAACAGGATAGCCTGCTGGTTTGCAATGTTGGTAGCACTGTGGCTCTCAACCGTTCCTGGTACGACAGTTGACTTGGTTCTGGAATAATTTTTGTAGCCCGGTGTTGCACTTTCTCCAGACCCGCTATGTCCTTCTGAAGGTGAGATCTCCATGTCTAGATACAGTAATCCAAGTGGGGACGCACTAGAGATGTAGTAGTAGTAGTTATAGTAGTAGTAGTAGTAGTAATAGTAGGCACCCAAGACTATGGAGTTGCGCTCGGGTTGTCGAGGCTGGAGTGTTCTCTCCAGGGCGCAAAGCCAAGGCTAGGTTGATAAGGAAAAGAAGCTGTTACCGTTGCAGCAGGTCCCCCCCACCCCCTCTCCACGATGCTGAAGTTGTCCAATGTAACGGCAAACGACAATACGCTTGGTTCCAGCACCGTCATTTTAAATTAATGAGGAGCTGAGATATATGAGGACAAGGAGCTGTAGTATAGGGGCATGGGTAGGATATGAAAACAAGGAGCTGGGATATGAAGACTGCAAGGAGCTGGGATATGAAAACAAGGAGCTGGGATATGAGGACAATGAGCAGGGATATGAGGATAAGGAGCTGGGATATGAGGACAAGGAGCTAGGATAACACAAGGAGCTGGGATATGAGGACAAGGAACTGGGATATGAGAACAAGGAGCTGGGATATAAGAACAAGGAGCAGGGAAATTAGGACAAGGAGCTGGGATATGAGGGACAAGGAGCAGGGATATGAGAACAAGGAGCTGGGATATTAGGACAAGGAGCTGGGATATGAGGACGGAGGGAAGAAACGGTGCCCAGCCACAGCAATGTAAACTACTAATTCCATAGCAATAATTGAGGTAGTGATATAGGCACTGCAGTGCTGGGCTTAGTACAGTACTATAGGATCGACAAGTATAGGCAGCAGCAGTAGGCTTGTTATCCCCGCCGAAGCCAATATAGGTCAATTCAGGAGAATAATTTAGTAAAGTAATAATATACATAAATGTAGGAACTCTTGTATATATATAAACAAAATATTGGTTTAAGTAATAGGCGTAGTAGATAGGTTTAAGTGATAGAAAAATATATCTTGCTAATTGTCCACACTTCCAGTTAATGTTATATATATATCATAGTTAATGTTATAAATTATAGTTTAAATTTAATATAATAAAACTTTCTCTGCAGTTCCGTTGAATCTTGAAATAATGCCAACCGGAAATTCTTATCAGCAACAAGAATAATTCACAGGAAAATTCTGAGTATGACTCAATATGTTTGTTTGGAGAATATTTTGAGAATTTCGTTGGTCTAACTTATTTCTCAAAATCATGTTTGAGTTGGGAATTAGCTATATATCCAAAATATTTTGATTTACTTCTATTAAAAGCAATTAATTGAATGCGGTAATTAAGGGCGTTGTCTAATAATTAATGCCATACCATATTACGCATTTGTTTGAATTTAGGATTGATTTTAGTCCGATTATCTGCTGTCCTGCGCCCCTGCCATGTAATTACAAGCAAAATATGTGTAAATAAGGATGATGACAGCAGTTAATGAAGGACCAATTGGAGGGAATGGTTCAAATGCCAGTGTCATTCCCTCGTTTTCCAGCAATATCCCTCACCTAATTCCCAACCCCATTCCCCAGGCACACTAGACCTCAAAAATATCCCCACTAGACGCAAACCCAATTTACTGATCCCTAATATTAAAAATAAAAGTGGGGATAAGTAGATTTGTGGTGAAACTGGGGCGTTTGAAGAGTGTTTTAGGAGAGTTAGTTGGGCGGGGCTGAGGGCGAGACAATCAGGTGTTGGGGGTCTCTGACTGACTCAGAGCTGGACCACGTCCCGGGTTTTATTTTTTTAATTTGGGACCATTTTTTCGGGGGAGGGGCCCCTTTTGAGCAGCCGTGATGAGCGAGTTCGTGTGGGGGCTGAAGAACGGCGACCTCGACCAGGTGATGGAGGCTGTGGAGAAGGTGAGGAGGTAATTTTTTAGGTGCCGCCGCTGGAGACTACAGGACAATAACACTGAGGGCAGACCTAGTCTGTGTTTGTTTTTTGTTTTTGTTTGGTTGGTCTATGTGTTTATGTTTTTGGTCCTCTGATCTGATATGTCACTAATTGTTTTTTTTCGTGGAGATGGGCGGGTTTATGTGGGTGGTTCCTGCTCTTGTTTTCTCTCGTGTTATCACTATATATTTATATTTTTTTAAGGTAATTCGGTATTGTTAGTCTTTACTACTTCAGGTTCCTCAAAGACTTTTTTTGAAAAAGGCTATTTTAGTTCCTTTCAGAAACTACTAAATGCACATTTTAGCACCATTGTGGTGTGAGTGGCCGCGACTGAGGGTCGTATGAGGTGTAAGAGGAGTCCGTCAGGCCGTTGGTCTAATGTTGTCCGATGACCGGACTCTTGACGGTTTAATAGTTTTTTTTATAGTTTTAATTGTGATGAAAACTTGTTTTATTATTATTATTATTATTTTGTGGTTGGTTAATTAGCCACGGCCCAATCGTTGGGTTTCGTGACTCGGTGATGGTTTTGGCCGCGTGTTTGGTGTATTTTGGGTGGTGTCTGTAGACTGTCACGGTCGATGACTGGGCACTCGCGTGTGTCGTTGGACGCTGGAGTGGCCACGTGTACATGTTCACATCTGTCACTCAAGCCGTGATGTATGGAAGGAGTCGTATGGAATAAATCCGAGTATCGTTGTCCAAAATGGCAACCTGGTGCAGAATATGACCTCTATAGTATGATCATTTATGGATCAAATCTCTAGTTTTGAAAATGATGGTCATGGTCCGAGGCTAGACTAGCGTCACGGTCCGAGGCTAGACTAGCGTCACGGTCCGAGGCTAGACTAGCGTCACGGTCCGAGGCTAGACTAGCGTCACGGTCCGAGGCTAGACTAGCGTCACGGTCCGAGGCTAGACTAGCGTCACGGTCCGAGGCTAGACTAGCGTCACGGTCCGAGGCTAGACTAGCGTCACGGTCCGAGGCTAGACTAGCGTCACGGTCCGAGGCTAGACTAGCGTCACGGTCCGAGGCTAGACTAGCGTCACGGTCCGAGGCTAGACTAGCGTCACGGTCCGAGGCTAGACTAGCGTCACGGTCCGAGGCTAGACTAGCGTCACGGTCCGAGGCTAGACTAGCGTCACGGTCCGAGGCTAGACTAGCGTCACGGTCCGAGGCTAGACTAGCGTCACGGTCCGAGGCTAGGAGGTGTGCCGAATCAAAAACACACACACACACACACACACACACACTAGCAGTCATCCACAACAGTAATCCTGCATTTCTTAAGACAAGGTGCCCATGGCTTCTTCTGAGTTGTCATATACAGTATAGCGTATTGGATGAAAATTTTTACTGAAATCTATCGTTGGGAGAGCATATGTAAACATTTAATTGCACAATCAGTTCCTTATTCAATGACTAATCTCTTAAACCAGCCCTGATTCATATCAGTTAGAAGATTTTCTTAGTGTTAAAATTATTAAGACTTGTCAAGGCAGTTATTATAATCCCCTGATCGAAGATTGACCGCCAAAGCCAGCACATTTAATGTCAACAGAGAGCTCTCTTTAGTGTCAACCAACCTTCCTGTGTCTACACTGTGATGGTTTCATGAATCAATGTCCCAACTGGCCAGTCTTTGACCAGGCCTTCTGGTTGGTGGTCTGATCAACCAGGCTGTTAATGCTACTGCTTGCAGACTGAAATATTGATTAGTTGATCACAGCCTGGTTGATCAAGTTAAAAATTATTAAGACTTATCAAAGCTGGCAGGCCATTAGTAAACACTTGTGTGTGCACTGATGAGATTCTAGCTAGCACTGGTGTTAGGGTATTATGGTGTGGCTCTGTACCAGGTTCATGTGTTTATTGTGATCATTACCTGTGGTTACCCCTCACAAACCACACAGTGGTGCTTTTCCTGAGTTAACTTTAGAGCTACTAACACTAGTGGCCTCGACGAGGACGGGAAGCCGGCAGCTTGTCGAAGGTCCCCACCCATTTGCCGTGATGATCTTTTCTAGCTGTACTTTAAAACCAAACAGAGTTTTGGCATTAACAGCTTTAGCAGGTAGGCAGTTCCATGGGTGAAAAAGCATTTCCTGTTCTAAGACAGAACAGCAACATTTCCTGTTCCTGTTCTGTAACCTACCTTACCCCTCTGTTGTCAACACATGTCTGTTTTTTTTTCAAAACAACGCTGTTTGAATGTAATTGTCTGTAATAATTTGTAATTGTGCTGCTTTTTCAGCCATGTTCCCCCCTCTTTTACCTCTATTTTTATTTGTTCTCAACACATTTTATTCTTTATACCCATTAGTATTAAGCTTTAGTCATTAATGTTTTTCCTGCCCGAAACGCTTTGCGTAATAGTGGCATTGTATGTACTAGCTCTATCTATTAACCCAACAAACTTTGTAAGATCTCTTGTATGTATGTACCTTACCTAAATAAACATTTATTTATTTATTTATTTATTTGACCTGTAGAAGAAATTTTCCGGCTCGGCATCCTCCAAATTGTTCAGTACAGTATTTTAAGTTTCAATGAGATACGCCCTGTCATTCCTGTTTGTCATCCTCCCTGATCTGCCATCATGGAGAGGTTGTCATGAACCAATTAAGTTCGTCTGTTTAAACTGTTCTTCGGGAGAGAACTTGTTACAGACAATTCTTGCCTCAACACTTCTGCAGAGTGACATCACCACCCTTTATATATATTGTATACCACATGTTAATTTATTTGCGATTTACACACACAACTACTAGTAGCATAAATAACTTACTGAGTATGCAATATTCTGCAGTTTATATAACTCCCAAATTAATTTTCTATGTCTTGATTGCTTTCTGCTACAGTATAAATTCATTCTCTCCTTGTTTGTAAAAATTGAGACTGAATCCACCATCGGTGGACATCTGTTATGTTGATTCCAGAGGCAAGACCTATGCTACTGCCTAACTGATCATCATGTTTAGCGAAAAACATGGCCTTGGCTTAGGCTAGTATAAAGAAGTACCATGCTCATACCCAAGAATAACCCTCTACTTTAGGTGTAGTGAGTTTAACAGCTTCCTCGCAAGAAGTAATCAAACTGGCTATTTGCAGTGGCTATCTTATCTATGTAGGTTTGCCATACATTATTATATTACATATCCAAATACATCTGCTTCCTTCACACAAATTATTTCTACCCATTCTTATTACCTTGGCATATTATGTGTATACAGAGAAATCACATTAAAGTGATATAGCAATGAACTGTGCTATAGCTCATTATGGCACCACGGGAGCCACAATGAGAGTTCGAACTTATGTGCTGGGAGTTCCCAGGCACGCTCTGGTCGACTGCACCACAACATGGTCAAAGAATTGCAAAGTGGGGTACTACTGCACCCACGACGTTCGAACCCTCATCACGACTCCTGTGGATTTGTTATTTGATGTGTGTTAATCACACCAACTCGCTGGCTCTTCACATAGTCATTTGCCATGTCCTAGTTCACCATGTCCACCCACCATCTTCCTGGTTTACCTCTCCTTGCCTCAAATTCTCTCTGATATGTTCTCCTCACCAATCTACTATATCTCTCATTCATTCAACTTGGTGAAAACCATCTCAATATGCTCTCCTCAATCATGAGGTCTATTGTATTTTGTACCCTGCATCTCTATGATATTTTCATACATTTTGTCCACTGTCCTCTTAATGGTTCTTTACAGTGCCTTGACAAACTACGTTTACCATATTAATGAGATGGGCTTATAATGGACAGTATAATGGACAGATGGGGATAATAATAATAATCTGTCCAGTATAATGGACAGATGGGCTTATGTGGACAGTATAAGGTATTTATTCCTCGCAATTATTTTTATTTTAATGACACATTAGTTACTATTTTCCATAAGTCTATTAGTGTGGAAAGTTACAATGTATTGTTAAATCTTCATTAACAGAATTCTTCCTCTAAATTTCATCAGAGAAGTAAAGGTTTAATTTCATTAACAATTTCTTTTGAAATTATGAGGTTTAATGATTTATGACAACCATAAATGCATGATTTAAATTTGTACTGTATTTGCATTTATGGTGGTTTCATAAAATAACATGGAATATCTGTTGAATGATGAAGCCTTTGTATTGACTAATGTATGAAAGTCAAAGAGCACATTACCATCTACGAGTGGACCAAGCAAAACAAGTAAGCGAGTTAATAATGTCCCCATGAGTCTACTTAGGCTCGGTATGGCTCTGATGATGTGCTAATATTGTGTAGAAGAATAAGGTCAATGAAGAAATCTTTTGGAGCAAGGTTGTGGAATTCGATTCGCGTTCCGAATCGAGCCGGTCGGCCGAGCGGACAGCACACTGGACTTGTGATCCTGTGGTCCTGGGTTCGATCCCAGGCTTTGGCGAGAAACAATGGGCAGAGTTTCTTTCACCCTATGCCCCTGTTACCTAGCAGTAAAACGGGTACCTGGGTGTTAGTCAGCTGTCACGGGCTGCTTCCTGGGGGTGGAGGCCTGGTCGAGGACCGGGCCGCGGGGACACTAAAGCCCCGAAATCATCTCAAGATAACCTCAAGATAACCCCAGTTGCAGGCATTACCCACTGGGGTGGTGCAGGATACAAGTTCAATTCCACTTCATTGCTTCAAAAGTTTTCCCCATAGATAATATCATACTACAGTATTGTGATTTTATTGTGCAAAGAATGCCAATATTTGAATTATGAAATAGATTAAAAATAAATCATAAAAAGCAAGTTATGACCACTTGAATTAATTAAATGAATACAGCATCATTGAAATAGACATTAATACAGAGCATTAAGCAGTATATATATATGCATTACAGTGTTAGTAATGTAAAATAGGCACATCATGCCACACTTGTGGAAGTTGCACCCGTAGGAAATACAGATAAGCTCTTGGTTATCATATGTAGCTGTTTATTGCACATGATACAAATGCAAATAAATTGGCAATTAGGCTCTCATTCTTCTAGATTTTCTGCATGTTATATATGTGTGAAGGTGTATCTGGTGAAAATACATTTCTATACCCTACTGGTGTAAGTAGAAGTTAAACTAAATTGATATATTTTTGAGAGTTATCAAGATAATACTTGACTTTCAAACATTGTATACTGTAATACCATAAATGCTGTACATATGTTGACTGGTAGTCCGACCTAACATCCCACTATCACTGCTTGAAGTATTTACCTTCAAAACTTGACTCCTAACTACATGAGAGGTCTTGTTTCTGAGTTTCTGCCACTTTTCCAAGAAATGCAAGATTTAACCAAATGGCTTGAAATTTGTATGTCTTATTTTTCTTCTGGTAAAATTCTTTTGCCATGCTCAAGTTTGGGTAATTATGTGCACCATCCTCATTATGTCTTGCATAAAGCATTCAACAGATAATAATTGTACAGTAGGTCAGGCACTTATTGTAGCAATTAAAAAGTGTGGTTGCATGATGAGAGGTACGCTTGTAGTGTCCCGTCTTCCCAGCACTATCATATAACGCTTTTAAGCTATTGGCAGTTTTGGCCTCCAGCACCTTCTCACTTAACTTGTTCCAATCGTCTACCACTTTTTGAAAATGAATTTTCTTACATTTCTTCAGCAGCTTTGTTTAGTAAGCTTAAATTTCTGACCTTTTGTTCTTGAAGTTCCAGGTCTCAAGATTTCTTCCCTATCAATTTTGTGGATTTCTATTATTATTTTGTATGCAGTGTTCATATCACCTCTTTTTCTTTTATCTACTAGCATTGACATATTTAATGACTAACCTCTTCTCATAGCTCTCGTCTTTCAGTTCCGGAAGCAATTTGGTAGCACGTCTGCACCTTTTCCAGTTTGTTGATATGCTTCTAAAAAATATGGGCACCATACAACCGCTGCATATTCTAACTTTGGTCTCGCAAATGTCAAGAACAATATCTTTAGTATTTCACCATGCATGTACTCGGGCGTGTTTTACCCACTGGATAACACTGCAGTCAGTCCACGTATCACAATATACAGTACTGTTTGTGAAAGTTAAGGTACCTGTTCAGAGTATTCAGATATTCTTCTGGCAGCAATATCTTTCTGAATTTGTTGAGTATCTATTGTATTGAAGTCTGAATTGTTAAGGTTCCAGTGTAATTGGAACAAAAATATTTTTGTGGTTTTTAGCAAATATCAGTTTTACATTTTTATTTTTACTAGACATAAAAAATATCCAATTTAAGTTTTTAGTAGCATCTGGAAGCAATAGGATGCTTTACTAGTAAACTTTTTGCCAACCACGGGCTAGACGGTAAAGCGACGGTCTCGCTTCATGCAGGTCGGCGTTTAATCCCCGACCGTTGAAGTGGTTGAGCACCAATCCTTTTTTTCCCTCCGTCCGATCCCAACTCCTTATCCTGACCCTTTCCCAGTGCTATATAGTAGCAATGGCTTGGCACTTTCCCCTGATCATTCCCTCCCTCCCTTTCTTCGTATTTCACTCCTATTTTTACCAATATGTTTTAACTATGGAATCTCTAGTTCCATTTTCCTTTAGTAGCCATTCCCAAATTTGTCTTGTCATTATAAATGGCATATCATTGAAAGAGGTGTACTGTATTGTATTGTATCGTCCAAATACATTTGGAAGATAGTTGACAGAACCCTGATAAAATAGACTGTAGTACACGAAAGAATCGCATCTGGTGGGGGAGAAACTGGAGGGTGTGGAGGGTAAAACTCTCATGGGAATTTTAAGGGGAATGGAACAGGCTAGGGAGGGAGGGAGGTTTCTGTTGATGAGGCTACCTCAAAGCCCACATTTCTCCATTCCCTTGTGTAGGACTTTTTTGGGAGCAGGAAAAGTCAGTTGTGTATTGATAAATAACCACAAAATTGGCTGCCCCAAGATGGATGTGTGGCAAGGTCATGGTTTATTAAGATATTGGGAAATTATACTGGCACTATTGCCTCAATTTGCCAGCCTCTGATATGAGTCACATCTTGATAAAATCAATATAGGGGGATTCCTTTCCTTTCTATTGAATGGGCTTGTTTCATCTTTCCACTACATTTTGCTAGGGTATAGGCTCCTGTGTTGTATAATTGTGGGGATATAATTGTATAATTGTAATTATATTATAATCATAAACCTGCATGTATCCAAGATTAAATTTTTCATGACCAGTTAGGCAAAAAGCAATACTGTATTCATTTCGTTTCTGACTAACAAAGGTTGCCTTTAAATTGCCTTTCCTTGTATTGAAAATATTTTGATGAGCATTCATCATGCATTAGCTACTTTCAGCATGATTATCCATAGTACGTAGTAGGCTAATAAGTACTGTACAGTATAGTGGTTTAGAGATACAGGTACACTTAAACCAGAATAATTTGCAGTGTATTGCCTTTACCGATTATTGTACTAATGCAAGTTTTTTCGCACTACTGTATATATTCTCTGCTTCTCTCCAACTCTTTCTGTCCAGCAGAAAGCGAGCTTAGGTTATGTTGGTCTTGGCTGAGCTTTACATGGGTTTGAGTATCATTTGAGTCTTTACACCTTCAAGTTTTTTATTTTTTTATTTTTTTTACCTAACTTGCTTTTTGTGTTGGTTTAAAATGTATTTTATCAATGTGCCTTTTCTTTTCACAGTACATAACATACAATATAAATACCCCTGTATAATATATAAGTATATATGTGCACCGACTAGTCTGTGCATTAAGCATGAGCACCGAGTTCTTCCACTTAACAGGGCTTGATGAAAAACACGAGAGATCCCTCACTGTCTCATTGCCTGGAGAGAATGGGATATCTGGTTGGTTAAATACCCCAGAATTCCCACCTCTTTTAGGGCTCTGGAAGTATGGTGTAGTGGATACAGGTGCATACCTGCCATCTTGATGGCCAGTGTTCGAGTCCCCTGGTGGGTGTGAGTGTCTAAAGTGTTATAAGTGTGTGTGTGTGTGTATGTATGTATGTATGTATATATATATGTATATATGTATATATATATATATATATATATATATATATATATATATATATATATATATATATATATATATATATATATATATATATATATATATATATATATATATATATATATATATATATATATATATATATATATATATATATATATATATATATATATATATATATATATATATATATATATATATATATATATATATATATATATATATATATATATATATATATATATATATATATATATATATATATATACTGTATATATAATATAAATAATCACATACTGTATTTAATAAAATATCTATATATAATATCTATTACACATAATCTCTATCAGAAAGCAACTTTTTCAGTTTACAGAACTGTATATCAAAATTATTGGTAATTCTGAATGGGGTTAACTTTTCTCACTGCAGAAAGGAACCGATGTCAATCTTGCAATAGAGGGTCGCCCACCACTGTGCCTAGCCTCTGACTATGGCCAGTTAGACATCATTAAATATCTACTTGAGAAAGGAGCAAATGTAGAGGTGAGCCATGATACAAGTATGTTAATATCAATTGATTGTTGATGAGAACGATAGTTTGAAATACATTTGTAGCAGATTGTGGTTTTTCAAGGTAATGTAATACCGGTAATACTAGATTGGAGAATGTTGTTAGGCACTTTCATCACGGCAAAAAAATTCTCGGGTGTGTGTGGAGTACTCTGTAGGATGACCTTGGTGTGAGGAGAGCGGTGCATTATGTGAACCCTGTTGTGTGGGGCATGCACTGTAATGTTACGTCAATCCCATGGAACAATTTGATAATTGTGAGGGCTTGATGAAGGGTGAAGTACAGTACAGAGAGGTAAATAGTTTGGTTTTGCTAGCTCTCCCCCCTCCCTCTCTCCCTGCATGTAAACATAATACCCTAATTATACAGAATGACTTAGAAAAGTTAATCGAGTTTTAAAATGTTAAATTAAATGACTTAATGTAACATACCTGAGTGCAGGCAACAAAGGTGTAACAACGTGCAGGTACATTTTCAATGGAACCATAAAACACTTCACAGGCTGTATGTAGAACTTGGCAAGATGGAGTGATACATTCTTAGAGGAATTTGGGTTTGAAAAGTGTTACAGTAGTATTTTTGTTGTTGTACTGCATTAAAATCATGCAATATTAGTTAAATTATTACTTGTGTGTAGTATTTGGGTATTTTTGTTTATGTATACAGTACTAGTATATTTTGGTAGCAGTCTTTCCTGTAGACATATATTATTAAATATGACCGAAAAAGTAAGATTAATAATTCTGACACGAATTTTCTCAATCTTTCGTACATTTCTTTTCACTGTTGGAGGTAAATCAAAAATCAATTCTCCAAAATTCATTTTTATTTCTAGTCTGACGCGACACGAGCGCGTTTCGTAAAACTTATTACATTTTCAAAGACTTTAGTTTACAAATACACAACTGAATAGAACTTACGCATCTCCGATTTTATATCTACATTTGAGTGAGGTGGATGGGGTGAGGTGGCATTAATAGGGTATTAATTTCATCAACACAAGACAGAACAAGAGGTGGTATTAATAGGGTATTAATTTCATCAACACAAGACAGAACACGAAACAATGGGTATTGAATAGAAGTGTTTGTAGAAAGCCTATTGGTCCATATTTCTTGATGCTTCTATATTGGAGCGGAGTCTTGAGGTGGGTAGAATATAGTTGTGCGTTAATTGGCTGTTGATTGCTGGTGTTGACTTCTTGATGTGTAGTGCCTCGCAAACGTCAAGCCGCCTGCTATCGCTGTATCTATCGATGATTTCTGTGTTGTTTACTAGGATTTCTAGAAATCTAGGATAGAAATCCTAGTAAACAACACAGAAATCATCGATAGATACAGCGATAGCAGGCGGCTTGACGTTTGCGAGGCACTACACATCAAGAAGTCAACACCAGCAATCAACAGCCAATTAATGCACAACTATATTCTACCCACCTCAAGACTCCACTCCAATATAGAAGCATCAAGAAATATGGACCAATAGGCTTTCTACAAACACTTCTATTCAATACCCATTGTTTCGTGTTCTGTCTTGTGTTGATGAAATTAATACCCTATTAATACCACCTCTTGTTCTGTCTTGTGTTGATGAAATTAATACCCTATTAATGCCACCTCACCCCATCCACCTCACTCAAATGTAGATATAAAATCGGAGATGCGTAAGTTCTATTCAGTTGTGTATTTGTAAACTAAAGTCTTTGAAAATGTAATAAGTTTTACGAAACGCGCTCGTGTCGCGTCAGACTAGAAATAAAAATGAATTTTGGAGAATTGATTTTTGATTTACCTCATTTACCTCCAACAGTGAAAAGAAATGTACGAAAGATTGAGAAAATTCGTGTTAGAATTATTAATCTTACTTTTTCGGTCATATTTAATAATGTATACAGTACTGTATATACCCTATACCTTATATAATATATATACATACATACATGCTAACATATTTTTTTATTTTAGTCGACAGACAAGCATGGAATCACAGCCCTATTAGCAGCCATCTGGGAAGGCCACACGCAATGCGTTAAAGTGCTCCTTGAGGCAGTGAGTAAATTGATTTTTCACCAGTGGTTTCCGACAATAGTGTTATCGTACTGTCCCAGCCAAGTTTAGTTTCTGATGAAGAGGCTGCATTCAATGTCCACTGAAGGGGTAACAGTATTTCTTGATAACATTATACCCAACTGGTTCACACCAGTCACCCATATAATGGAGATTTACCTTCCTGTCTCACTCGGGCCACAGGTGTGAATCCAGTCCCATGAATGGGTTGACTTGTAATTACAGTACAATACTGTACTTAGGTTTCCTGCACTGTTTCATCGAGCATGCCCAACCATTTCACCCAGCTCACTTGACTTTAACAAAGCTCTCTTTGCTGTTTCACTGAGCTCACTTGACTTTCATCAAGCTCACTTGACTGCTTCACTGAGCTCACTTAACTGATTTACCAATCTCTCTTAACAGAGCTCATTTGACTGTTTTGCAGAGCTCACTTGACTATTTCACTGAGCTCATGTGCCTCACCTTGTTCACTGGAAAAGGACAATATCACATACTAGACAGTTATCCACTATGAGGTGTTTTTTCTTTATATGGTGTATAGCATCAGCTTTGGTTATTGAGTGGAATTGCTCAACCTAGAAAGAACGTGTTGTTCTAGCATGTTGCCAAGTACAGTAGTAGGCATCCATCAGTCTCAGGAGGCTATGGAGTTGTGCTCTGGCTGTCGGTCTGGAGTGACATCTCCAGAGCCCAAAGCCAGGGTTGGTTGATACGTAGGAGAAGCTGTTACCCATGCAGCAGGTCCCCTCCCTCCCTCTCCATGATGCCGAAAGTCTCCAATGGAAAGGCAAACGCCAATTCGATTGGATCCAGTGCTGTCGCAGGAACTGTGAGCTCAGGAGGTGACCTTGAAGTTAGTGAAAGAAGGCACAGGGACTCCAAACCCAGAGACCGCCGTGGTCTGGGCCGGAGAAGAACTACCCTAGCAAGGGCAAGAACGACCCCAGCCTCCTGAAGCAGAGCCTGGGCCGCATGAGCCCCAGAAAGTGGACGTCCCAGTCCCGCACCTACGGGTTCCAGACAAAGATCGTCGCAACCCCCTTTCACCCAAGGCTGGCTTCCTTCAAGACCAAGGAGAATGAAGAGTGATAATTATTAAATACAATAATAATTATTATAATAATAATTAATAATTATCACTCTTCCTTCTGCTTGGTCTCAAAGGCAGTACAACATGTGTGTTAATCCAGTGGGCTGAAATGTCAGTCAACATTCAGAATAACCATCAATGCTTTCGTGCTTTATCAAGAGCAAGTTCATGATCTTCCTCATCTTTTTTATTTAGTTTTTAAAGACTTGGGCACTTAAAGGGGGGTGGGTCCTACTTTATTAAGAATAAGGGTTTTATTGTTAAGGGCTTGGGTATCATTTTCTACATTCAGATTTTAAAGTTCTTTTCACTTTTCAGTGACTTGATCTTCATAGTTCTTAATTTTCACATCACTGCTAATGGCTATTTTTAACCCAAATTCTTGGAAGTTTTATTGCAAACCATTATTTTCAAGTCTTGAATGGCTTTCCAGTGCATGATGCAACGTGATGCATTGCATTAATTTAATCATCTTTGTTATTCAGTAAGTCTTGGAATTTGGGCTTGTATATACCATACAATATATACCATATATATTGTATGGTACATAATCAGGTAAACGTATTAACAATATATACCATATATATTGTATGGTACATAATCAGGTAAACGTATTAACTATCACTTTCAGTCACTATTTATTTATTTACAGTGTCCATCTGTATGTAAGTCTGTGTCTATCCCTTTTATCATTTTTTCTTCTTGCTCCAAAATGTGTTGAAATGGTGCACCGTGCTTCACAATGCATTAAGAAAAGGTTTTTCTTTAGTTGAAGTTGTGTGAAAGAAGGCGAATCGAAGCCTCTGGGCTGCTCATACCTTCCCATGTATTCACTTTGTTCTCGAAGTTTGGATTTTCTAGATCAGTGGACGCTGTTTGCTCCCATTAGCAATGTTTGATTAACATTCTCTTTGAGAGAGATTGTTCGGGTAATTCACAATTCTGCATGCAGTACTGCATCATATTCCAGGGATATGTTTTGTATTTAGTGATGTTTGGCAACCTTGTAGGATTTCATCATTTTTTCTCTCGATATCTTTAGGTCAATTTTCTGTGTAGGGTTCATCGGATCATCTCATTGCCTTAGGTTAATTTGACTGGTACAAACATTTATGTGTCAAATATGGTCTTGTGGTAAGGCATGTAATTTTTCTTAAAGGGGTAGCACACAACTCGCTACCTAACTTGTGTCTACCTTGTGGAGGTTCCGAGGATCAACGGCCCCGCAACATTTCGCTCGCTTTACAGTAGCGTCCTCCCTTTTCAGTACATTTAGTCAAACTAATTCACATCTACATCTAGTTTTCATGAAGATTTTTCCTAAAAAATATGTTTATGATGAGGGTGTGAAAGTAAATGTCATCATTATAATGTATGGGGACAACATGTATTACATATGGTACCTGGTTTTTGTAACCATTTCAATTATAATACTGTACAGTAATATAATAATGTCCAACCCACGCGTGTGAAAAGAAATAAGCGAGAGAATGTCACAACGTGATAAAGGTCCAGGATGAACTGAAATGCAGTCACTTATATATTTTCACGTGCGTGGGTTGGGGTATTTGTTTCAGCCATGTTTTCATGTCTTATTCTCTGCATAATAATATCAGTTCAAATTGAGCCATGAACCTTGAACAGCATGGTAACTTGACAATTACCTGTTGTGATATTAACCATAGGGTGTTAATTAATCACTGGGTTCAAATACTGTACTTGTGATATGCTGCATGACCACATGACACGGAAAAGAAAATATGAGGAAGGAAGAACCAAGTATATTTCTGTAAATATTTTGTATATGAAAAGCATGATGCTGTAAAATATTATTTAATGTGCTCTTACCAGGGTTAAGAGTTATAAAAAATTCAAACATCAATTAACACACACTTTTCAGTCTGGATTCAATTATATGCCTGACAGAGGCTGTATAAATTGCCTTGAAAGAATTATTCTTTTAAGTTTTAAAATGTACAGTACAGTAGTACCATTCTTGTATGCCCCAAAATGCTGTGTGTGTAATTAGTGGCTTTGTAAAATATACAAATACTGTACTAAGTAACCACTGTAATTGGTCCTTTGTATATCTTATAAATAAAATATACAATTTTATTATGAGAAAATCCGTAGGAGCCGTGATGGGGGTTCGAACCTATGCTGTGGGTGTTCCCCCACACACACGCTCTAGCAACTAGACCACGACATGGTATAAGGATTGCAACCTGGAGTTCTACTGAATTACACTCAGGTTTCCTGAGGCTTCTACTGAAGCCAGACTAAGATTTTCAAACAATCTTCCCCCTCTTCCATGCACTCTAGCTCTGTCATATTGGAATGTTCTACCTCTGATGCTCCTCTTTCTGGTCCTTGGTTATCTTGAGATGATTTCGGGGCTTTTTAGTGTCCCGGCGGCCCGGTCCTCGACCAGGCCTCCACCCCCAGGAAGCAGCCCGTGACAGCTGACTAACTCTCAGGTACCTATTTTACTGCTAGGTAACAGGGGCATAGGGTGAAAGAAACTCTGCCCATTGTTTCTCGCCGGCGCCTGGGATCGAACCCAGGACCACAGGATCACAAGTCCAGTGTGCTGTCCGCTCGGCCGACCGGCTCTCCGGTCCTGCTTCAGTAGAAGCCTTGGGAAACCCTTGTGTGTGTTCAGTTGAACTCCAGGTTGCAGTCCTTGTACGATGTTGTGGTCTAGTTGCTAGTGTACATGGGAACATCCACTGCATGGGTTCGAACCCTTATCATGGCGCCTACGGATTTTCTCATTGATGCAGTCACGTTAGTGTGATTACTCTGTGTATTACTATTATTATTATTATTAACAGAAATATCATTACCGTGATATATATCAATGAGAAAATCCACTAGGATTATAGGTGGGCGCAAACCTACTGGCCAATGCCGGGGTCGTAGGTTCGCTCCCACCTATAGTCCTAGTGGATTTTCTCATCATCATCGTCATCATCATTATTATTATTATTTGCCAGCTTCCAATTTTCTGCTGATGTTAACCCTATTTGTAATTACCTAAGTGTAGTTACAGGATAAGAGCTATGCTCTTGGTGTACTGTCTTCCCAGTGCTCTTTATCATATGAGGCTTTAAAATATTTATGACTTTGGCTTCCACCACCACCTCACTTGGAGTATGCAGCCGTTGTATGGTACCCATGTCTCTAGAAGTACATCAGTAAACTGGGAAAGGTGCAAAGACATGCAACTAAGTGGCTTCTGGAACTAAAAAACAAGAACTGTGAGGCGAGGCTCAAGAAGAGCCTCACCTCAGATAGAAAAAGAGGTGACATGATCACTACATACAAAATAGTAACAGGAAGCTACAAAACTGACAAATAAGAATTCTTGAAACCTGCCCCTTCAAGATCAAGAGGTCACAGATTCAAACAAAAAAAAACATAGATGCCAAAAAATTAAAAAGGTCACTTTTGCAAACGGTGATAAACAGGTGGAACGAGCTTAACTGAATAAGGTGGTGGAGGCCAAAAACATCAGTAGTTTCAATGTGTCATATAACAGTATTGGGAAAACGAAACACCATGAACATAGCTCTCATCTTGTAACTACAGTACACTTGGGTAATTACATCATTTGTACACACAGAAATCACAATAACGTGATACAGTATATCAAATGAACAAATCCACAAGGGCCATGATGAGGGTTCGAACCTACACACAGGATGTTCCGAGATGCGCATTAGTCAACTGTGCCACAACATGGTCGTGCCACTAATAGACCATGTCGTGGTACAGTTGACTAAGGCGCATCTGGGAACATCCCGTGTGTAGGTTCGAACCCTCATCATGGCCCTTGTGGATTTGTACATCATTTGTAGGTTTTGTGTGATCAATTTTAGTCTTTTGCAATTACAATACAGTACTTGTCGTATTTTATAAAAGTAGGTTTTGCACAAAGTGCATTATAATATTTTTTGCACATTGAGTGGCTTCAATAAACATAGTTAAGCAGGCAATATATTCATTAAGGCTGACTTATGTGTTGTCATTGACATGAAATAAATGATGCTAGAAATTTTTTCCATAATCAGATAGGCATTTGTAATCATTTGTTAATATGTAAAATGTTGCTTCCATCTCCCAGGGAGCTGACAAAAATGGAACTGCACCAGATGGCACGAGTTACTTGGATGCTGCCGAGAAAGATGAGATCAAGGCCTTGCTGAGATAAAGCCCGTCTTGTAATAGGTGTTGTGGGCAGGTGAGGGCTGGTGTACACATTGGCAAATTGCCAGATAGGCTGAGAAGAAGAGCTCTTTCCAACTTGAGCATGTGTGATGAGTGTCTTCTTGCAGTCCCAGTGTCTCCCCAACCATGTGAGGGCCGGGACGCACGAGTGACGAATTGCCAGATTTGACAGAAAAAAAAGCTTATTCTAGTTTGAGTATATGTGCTGGGGGTATGTTTTTACAGTCCTAGGTGTTTCCCTAACACTATTGATTGTGATGTCAGAGCCGATGATTGGATTTCTAGCGATACACATATGGCAGCAGAGTCGAGGGTCGTCGAATTTTATATGCTGGATGCTATCAGATGCTTTTAATAATTCCTAACATTATTGCTACACTTTGTAAGTACATTTGATCAGAAGCCATTGGAACTTGTGTGTTTTAAGTTTTCATAATGCCGGGGGTGCCCAATTTGGAATTTGAGTAGAAAACTTTAAATTGCCAGGTCATAGGGATGTTAATATTAAGGTAGGTCCAAATCAGTTTTAGTAGAATGGAAGTGTCTAATTTAATACTGATGCATTTAACCAGCAATCTTGCATCCAACATTAGATCTTTGTGCTCAGTTAGTATGTATTATCTATCTCACCATAGGGGAAAGAAATTCAGTTCTTGGGTTTAATGCACTGCCGTCCAGAAATATGTTTTTGAGATCAAGAAAATTAGGAGGGAGGGAATTATCAGGGGGAAAGTGCTAAGCCATTACGACTATATAGCACTTGGAAAGGGTCAGGATCAGGATTTGGGATGGGACGGGGAGGGGGGAGGAATGGTGCCCAACCACTTGGACGGTCGGGGATTGAATGCCGACCTGCATGAAGCGAGACCGTCGCTCTACCGTCCAGCCCAAGTGGTTGGAATTAGCAAAGGAATAGTTCTTAAATCATAAAATACCACAAGGGTTGGCTATCCTTATGTTATACATGGTAAGAAATTGCTTTTACATTAGTTATTGAGGAAGGTACATTTGTGATCTAAATTCTTAAGCTTTGTTGTACTGTGTTTCCTATTTATAATGATACAGGTTTTTTTATTACCTGTACATGCATAAGGTATATATTGTATAATGCGGGGCTTAGTTTGCCTTGAATAACTCACAGAAACAGCTCTGACACTTAATGAATTACAAATAAGAAAAAACGTACATTGGAAAGTTTTATTTATTAATTTAAATTTAAGCAATATAAAGTTTTGTTTGCAGATGTGTAATAAAAAGAGTTCTGTACCCAAGCCTTAAGGTAGATTAATAATTTATAAGTTTCATCGGTTTGTTATATCCGTCAGTCATGTGGAGAGTACTGCCAACACACCAATATTGTCGTAAAAACTGAAAGCCAGTGAAAATGTATGTTGGCCATAGCACCTCTGTCTTTGTACATTTAGCACGAGCAGCTGTTTGGGTCCTCAAGGCCTACATCACAAATGGTTAATGATGACACTAAAAGCTAGACCCCCTCATGGTGTTTAGAGGTGGAAGAGGAAGGAGGGGGGGATCACCTTGGGTATTTTCATTTGTCATAAGTATTGACTGATATTCTGAGTATATCTTATGCTTAAGACAGTTGTTAATGTGCAAAACGTAGTGGGGGGGGGTTGAATTAATTTGGAATTTGTGTAAAAAAAAATTTAAATTGCCAGGTCATAGGGATGATAAAGTAGGGTTTACACTGTTTTTTTGTGTTTGCTAACTGGAAAGACAAATGTGTATCTGAAATGGAGTGCATCTTGTTTGCAGGCAATCTTTTGATGCAGTGCAGACAATGTACAGTGCTGGTTTAATTTTAAAAGTGCAGATATTGTGTTCCCAGTAGCCAGTCATTTCATGGAACGATGGTATCATTAACACCTGTTTTGTTCATGGAATGGAGGCTGCTACTCCTGTTTCTTCAGAGAGTGTAGACACTGCCCATATCTGTGCACATGATACTGTAACTGTAGACATTATTAACATCTGTGTACATAATATTGTTCCATATGAATATTGTTAACATGTACACAGAATAGTGTTCCACATGGAAGGTGTTAACATGTGCACATGATATTGTACCACGTAGACATTATTAACATCGGTATGCATAATACTGTTCCATGTGAGTATTGTTGAAATCTGTGGCCAGGCTTTTGCACCCTTGTCATTGTAATTAGGTTTACAAATCAAATTAATCATTCCAAACATATGCTGGAAAATAAACAATCCAAAGTGTCTTGGATAATGTTTACCAACAACACAGAGTATAATGGCAATATCTCGTGCGTCAATCATCACACTGCTTACCTCCGTCTATTGTGTTTTGAAGATGATTTTTTTTTTTTTAATTTGTAAAATAGTTCCCATCACTTATGAAGCCTTTTTAACTTTGGAAAGATTTTAATGTAAGGTACAGGAGCCTATTTTAAAATTGTCCAAATGTGAGTAGGCCTACTGAAAATATATTTCAAGCTGTCAAGATATACGAATTAGAGCTAAGTACATTTCTTTTCTTTTTTTTCTTTTTTTGTGTGGACAGTTGAAGTATACAGGACATCTTCCATCACTTGTATTAAATGTTATTTGTTGATCTGTACACTTGTGTCTGTGCCGGTTATGACGCATGTACTGTATGCGTTTACGGCAAAAACGATTATCATTAAGGTGAATTTATTGTAAATGTTAGTCAAATTTAATTGATTGGATCATGATTGTGATTTTTACAGGCAAAATATAATGATAAAAAAGAAGGCAATAGCAGGTGATAGAATCAGTTTGAAGAACCTGTGATGTAGAATAACTTCTGTGGATCTGATAATAACAATGGATTTGTTCATCATGTAAAATGTGTAAGGTATATCATTCTGTAATAGAGTAGTGTTGATGTACAGCCAAATAGGAAGAAATGTGTGGTTCCACCTCCCAGTTAGCCTTGCTTTTCACCCAACCAATCCTCTACTCATGCTTTGGCTAATTACGATAAATCAGCAATGCCTGTTTCAGTCTTTCAAAACTACAATGTTAAGATTACAGTATGTAAGATGATAAATATTTCTGTGCTAATGGAAGTATCAAAACCATTTGTTTATCATAATGACTTTGTAAAATAAATTAGAAGAAATATAATTAATGAAATAACTATTAACCCTCTAACTGGAACTTACTGTACATACATACAAATATACATACACACACACAAATCAGAGTGCCACAGCTCAACCCCCCACAAGCACAGCAACTACACGAGTACACACACACACACAAATAGATTTGTTTAGTCTAATCACATAAAACACCACCACCATGCATGACTGAAGCCTTTAATTAAACTAATTCTGTTATTGGTGACCAGCGGAGCTTCGTTGAATTGTTTCCTGGAATCTGGTTGACAGGTGTGTTAAAAGACAATATATATAGCCTATCATAATCAGGGTATCAGTCTTTTTAGATGCAGGTGGGATAATCATTAGATGATCAGTTTTTGGATTGGCCCCTTGTACTGGATTGAGAAGTGAACTGTGTGGTGTAGTTCGTAGCAGTGTCAGTTGCTGGTATGTATAAGCGCATATATATTTATATACATATATAAATACTAATATATATATATATATATATATATGTCGTACCTAATAGCCAGAACGCACTTCTCAGCCTACTATTCAAGGCCCGATTTGCCTAATAAGCCAAGTTTTCATGAATTAATGTTTTTTCGTCTACCTAACCTACCTAACCTAACCTAACCTAGCTTTTTTTGGCTACCTAACCTAACCTTACCTATAAATATAGGTTAGGTTAGGTTAGGTAGGGTTGGTTAGGTTCGGTTATATATCTACGTTAATTTTAACTCCAATAAAAAAAATTGACCTCATACATAGAGAAAAGGGTTGCTTTATCATTTCATAAGAAAAAAATTATAGTAAATATATTAATTTAGGAAAACTTGGCTTATTAGGCAAATCGGGCCTTGAATAGTAGGCTGAGAAGTGAGTTCTGGCTACTAGGTACGACATATATATATATATATATATATATATATATATATATATATATATATATATATATATATATATATATATATATATATATATATATATATATATATATATAAATAAAATTAATGTGTGTGTGTATAATATATACATATTATACACATACACTAAAATACTGCATAAAGAATTGCATAAGTAGAAAATGCATTGCATATCATCAAGCACATTTTTTCTAATCTGCTTATATATAATTTGTCCATCATATGAAGTGTATGAGGTATAGTTTTCTGTAATGGTGTTAATGTACAGATAAATAGGATAATGTTGTCGTTCTGCCGACCCAATCTTGGCAACTACTTTGGCTACCTTGTGATGGTTGCGAGGATCAACATCCCCATGGCCCAGTCTCTGACCAGGCCTCCTGATTGGTGGTCTGGTCAACCAGGCTGTTGGATGCCATAAGTTCACCAACTAATTGCAGGCGAGTGTGCAGTTTGAGACTAAGTTAATATTGTGATAATAGCACGAGGCTAGCAGTCGTCGTGTGCATGTCTACGCCATCAGTGCTCTGGTGCATTGCAGTGAGGGGGGGGGGGATGGTGAAACTTCCTGTAAGTATCAAATGTAATTCTATAAGTGGTTAGTCTAGATAGTGCAAGATAGTTCTTTTTTCCCCCCATTGTTATTTAGATAGATGTGAGGCATGTTTTGTTGTAGTAATGTTAGCCTCATGGGAATTCTTGTCTATTTTTACACTCCTCAAAATGATTAAAGCCTTTTAACAAACTATTCCTGCCTGAATTCACTGACTGACCAGCCAAGAGAGGCCTACACACACCACTCCTTTAAGATTCAGTCAAGTCTTTATAAGCTAGCTGGATCTCTATGGTATCACATTGCACACCGTCGTGACAAAACCCAAAGCCTTCAACTCTCATTAAGCAAGCTTGGCTTTCTTGAGCAGCTATTTCTGCTCTGGTATTGGCATCATGAGTGATATCTAGCCACTCTAGGTATCTCTTTGACATGAATATTTCTAAATAGCGATACTGCTCTGTGACATGGATATTGCTACAGAGCTATGTGGGCTTAGTGCTTTTTCGCTAATTCCTTACTCATGCAGCTGTATAATGCAAGAGCTTTGCCTTGAGAAAACATAGCCTTTTGATGCACACACACACACACTTCCTGGTGGCCGGGGTGTATGTGACCCACGTGTCGTTATCACGTTCTAAATCAACATTATTTTTTGGTGCCTATTGCATGATGCCTTGTTTGCAACTCGTTCAAGGCACTAACAATCTAACTACACCAGTCCTTATTGTTGCTATACAATTTCTGTTTCTTGGTGTTCGTGTAAGGACAACTACTTGAGTGCTGTGAACCGAACTAAAGGGCATCAGACATGATAATTAATGTCCTCGGTGGGTACAATTAGGAAACCCGTCACTGCTGGCAAGGCAAGTTTATGTAGGCATTAAAACAGATAATGGCGAGTGCAGATTTGGTTCCTTCCCAAAATTGAGAGCAGTTTCTTTCATTCTTGCTGCTTTTCCTCTTCGAGAATGTTCCACATCATAAATGTCTAAATCCCTCTCGTAATTAGAGAAAGGTACAGTAAATTGAATTCCAATGCAGTATGTAGATAAAAATCAAATCCCCTCCAAGAGGCTCTTGTTAGAGACATCTTGTACTCTCTCTCTTTTTGTGTGAAGGATTTATGTCTTGTTGATCTGTGAAAGGTCGACTAATTTTGTATACTGTACTTGGTCACATATTGTATATCCCTGGTCTCACATCACATGGCCAGGCAGATTTGTTTAATATTACTTGAATCTAATTTCCCCATGGTAAATAGTACTGTGCTTATATATAGTGTGTGTGTGTCTAAAAATAATATATGTTGTACCTAGTAGCCAGAATGCATTACTAAGCCTTCTATGCAGGGGCCCAATTTGCCTAATAAGCCAAGTTTTCCTGAATTTAGATATTTTTCTAATTTTTTCTTAGGAAATGATAAAACTATCCATTACATTATGTACGAGTTAATTTTTTGTAATTTGAGTTAAAATGTAGAAATCTGACCCAACCTAACCTACCCTAACCCAACCTATCTTAACCAAAGCTAAACTAACATAATTAGGTCAGTAATTCATGTTCCTAATATAATATAATAAAAGTATTTCAAATAAACCCAATGGGAATTTTGTTTTGAAAATAACAAAAATCACTCTGCCTATTAGGCAAATTGGGCCTTGTATAGTAGGCCGAGTAGTGCATTCTCACTATTGGGTACATTTTATTATATATATATATATATATATATATATATATATATATATATATATATATATATATGTATATATATATATATATATATATATATATATATATATATATATATATATATATATATATATATATATATATATATGCATACACAGTATATATACCTACATACAAACTATCTTAATATGCAGTTGTGTTAGGTCTTTATCTTCATAATAAGATAATTGTAGTTTTCATCTTTCGGCTGAAAAGTTTGCCAGTTTTCTCTGTTAAAGCTTCAGTGTTTGCATCAATTTGTTCTGTATCTGAGTCACTTTGTAAACAAACCATTGAATATTTGCCTAAATAACCCCCAATATTTGTGATGTGTTATTTTGCCTTCTTCCCCAAAAAATCCGATCACCATGAAGTCACACAAGTATATAATTTGATCTAAGTGTTGTTTAGAATAGTTGTGGCGTGGCCTAGTCCTTGCCTTCCTTTATCATATAGTTTTGTCTCTTCTGGTCAGGCAATAAAAGATTGTTTATTTTAGTAATGTTATATGCCAGTTTTGAATTGCTTTAAGTGCTCCTGTTTGCAGGTTTTAGGAATCAAAAGATGCTGTTTGGAATAGAAAGTTGTCATGTGTTGGTTAAATGAAAGTCTTAATAAATGTGATGTTGGCAGATTTTGTGCTTCTAGAATCAGATACCGAAGGAATGTTTTTGTCTTTTAAATTGTGATGGCAATAAAACTTGGGAGATGTTTACATTTTTAATTCTTTTTTCTCCATTGTCATCTTTTCACATAAAAAGCTCAGCTATTATTCATTATTGAAAATTCACCTTTATATCATTCATATTGCAGACAATGAATCACAATAATGGGGCTGAAGATATGAAAACTAAAGCACACCATGAGATGAGATGACGACGTTTCGGTCTGCCCTGGACCATTATCAAGTCAACTGTGATGGGAGCGAGATTGATGAAGATTAAGATTAAGCCACCCAAGAGGTGGCATGGGCATGAACAGCCTGTAAATGGGAGCGAGGGAAACACGACCATTAAGTAAGGCAATTGAGAGAGGTGCGGAGGAGGAAATTCCTCCTCACCTCTCTTGCCTTGCTTAATGCCCCTGGCTCCCAGTTACAGCCCCGTTCCTGTGCCAGGTAAGTCCACCACAGGCTCACCACTACAGTAGCCCGTGCTACTTGGAACTTTTGCTTCGAGTAGCTGAATCTAAAACAACCACCACCACCTGGCTCCCGCCACAATTGACTTGATGGTCCGGGACGGTTCGAAACGTTGTCGTCTCCTGATCTTCTGGTGTGTGGTTTAGTCTACATCGTTCATATTGTTTATTTCCTTCATTTAGTGCTTATCAGTATTAATTATGCTAACCAGTTTAGTTATACAGTACTTATTTAAATTATTTGAGTATCAAACTCTTAAATTTTAAAAAGTTGTCACATAATATATTGTTCAGTGACTCGAGACTTAGTACATAGATGACCTAATAATCTCTTTCTGCCCTTGTATTGGCATCTTAAATGGTATTTAATTTCTTTGAGTCAATTGGTCATTAAAGTGCTATATAATCGTACTGGCTTAGTGCTTTACTTTGATAATTACATCTTAAATTTTGTGAAAATTATTTATATATTTTAATTTTCCTGTAGTTTTGATGGCTCAGAATTACTATCTGCATGAGCAGTATGAGATACACAGGAGGTGTGTGAAATGTTGCATTGCTTATAAATACCTTGCTAATAAATATTCTCCAGGAAGAAGTAATGTTTTTGCATGTATTGGGCAAACCTGATTGTGTAGGGTCATAATAGTTGAAGTTAAGTTTTTCTGTTGTGTGTTTGTGTAATAACTTTTAATTCATGTTTTACAACCAATCTGTTACTTGGACTGGTGGCATTGTCATGCCTTTTACTGTATTCATTTAATGAAGAAAGTATTTATATTGTTGAGTTTTGCTAGAAGTCTCAAGCACACAGCATGGTTGGATACTGTGGTAAGGTATTTCTGGTACTGTATGGGTACCCTTGGCTGTGGTTTATAGAGTACTTACGTGTCAGCCTATGGGATTTGTATGTCATACCATGGTTATGACTTCTTTGTGGTACGGTATTTATCAAACGGTTTATGAGCTCCGAAACTCATGGCCATCCCTTGGGTTGAGAATGACCTCGGAGCTTGTACGCAGCTTAATACAGTGCAGATTAAGGTGCCACGAGGTAAACGGTACCACTCTCAAGTAGGCACATAAGAACTCTGTGAATACCAGCCAATTAAAAGTTCAAGTTTTGATATTTGAACAGTACCAGTAAGTTAAATAATTGGTACTCCTTGTCTTGAAATTTATGTTGATTAAGTCGGGGAACTAAACCATATCGTCTAGATATACAGTAATTCTAAGTCACATTTTCATGCAAGGTTTCTGATGTTGTACTGGGTATCTCATTAGTATCTGTAGCTTGTTTATTTGTATTGTTAACCATGTGTTTTGTTTTTTTAAGTTTTCTGAATATGCATGTTTCCACAAGTGATTGAAAGTGTTATATTTTATGCCTAAGTGAAGAGTAGAATGTGTTTGCTTTATCTAAAAATTGTGTACTGTATTTGACTTTCATGATTTGTAATTGAAAGTATGTTTTATTGCATATGTAAATTTACACTAGTTTACCTAGTAATATTTTTACCATCACTATTCCTACAGAAAATGCCTTTTATACAATTTTAGTGAGTGAAAAGGTAGAAACCATTGCATATGTATTTATTATATCTTACCTTTGTTGCACGATTATTATAAAAATTTGATGTCTTTTTTTTTTGTTTTTATTTCTGTTGAGGTCAAAAATGTTTAGGGATGCGATTTTGTATGATCAACTGTTATGCATTTTTATATCCACAAGGGGCCTATGGCTTGTTTAATGATCTAGTTATTTGCCTGTAACCACTTAATATGGAGCAAATATTTAGCAATTTTGAACAGTGTTTTACTTAACCTTTCCTTCAAGCAAGTACTTATTTTTATGGCTTTTAGTAGAATGTGATGGCAGTGTGTTTGGCACTTACAGTAACGAAAACATTGTCGTAAGTTATATTGATGCTCGATTTACCGTGTTCGCTGGCATAAGAGACATTTTACAAAGATGTCTTGAAGAAACTTTCAATACATGTATGATAGTTTTAATATTTTATGTTCACGTGATTTGTAGGGGGAAAACATTTTTTTTATACACACAAACAGTATATATTCAGTTTAAAATGAATCAAAAATATGCATCTTATGTGCTGGAAAAATAAGGTATGTATCACAGTACTTACATTTATTAAAGCTATATTAAAAAACTGGTAAGTTAAATATACAATTTTATTAAGGATAAGTTTTAATACACTACTGACCCGAATCTGTAGTTACACTGCTGTCTCCAGGTTCAATCTTCTTCTTTTTGCCTCTCTTTCTTGACTGTTTTCTTAATTTCTTTACACTGTTGGGTCTCTCTAGACACAGTTTCTGTGTTTTACGTGGAACTTCACAAATTGCATCACCCGTTTTTGATCTCGAGTCATGTTTTCTCTTAACTTTTTTCTTGCTCTCATATTTTTCTGGCATTGTTACACAGTGGCTGCAACTATTTGCTTTATTCACACATTTGCATTCGACCTCGGCCACCTCCTCTGTCTTCAATGCACAATTCAGTTCCCCATTTATTTTCTGGCCTGCACAGTTGGGGGATGTTTTGAACATAGTAGTCGGCTTTTCACAAGAAGTTGCCAAGATGGCTCCATGGTCTCTCTTCTTCATAACCTTATAATTTTCTAAATACCTGAAATAATACTGGGAGTTAAATACAATTTATATTCAGAACTGTATTCATACCATCAATGACAACTTAGTTTAGCATTAACACTTCATTTTTCTGTACTATACAGTGATTTTTGTTAGGTGGAAACTCGCAAATATAAATTAAACCTATTTAAAAAAAAATAAAAAAGTGTTAAGTCATTAATGACTAAATATTTTGCATCTTCCTTTTGGTTTATTACCTAATATTTTTTGGATGAAGCCATGGGTAGACATCCTGCTTGTTAAGAATCCACTCTGGAGATACTGCCAAAGATGAGCATCTGGATGCTATTTCTTCCTGTAAATATTTTGTTTAAATGAGCAAGAGCATTAGAATAAGCTAACCCTGATAACTATTAGCACAGGTGGAAACCATGTACCCAAATGAGCTGCAGACATTACAAAGAATTATGTTAGTGTTGGTAGGGAACAAATGGAATGCACTAAGAAGTGAGGTGGAGGCTCTTACTATTCATTTTCATAAGTAGAGGAGATGATGAGTCCAATAGGCTGAGGAACTTGTACTCTAATCATGAGGCAGGACCAAAGAGCCAAAACTTGGCCCCCCCCTCCCCCAAGAAACCACCAGTATTAGGCAACTGGTGGATTATCTTGAGATGATTTTGGGGCTTACCTCCAGGAAGAAGCCCGTAGCAGCTATCTAACTCCCAGGTACTGTACCTATTTACTGCTAGGTGAACAGGGGTATCAGGGTGAAAGAAACTGCCCATGTGTTTCCACCTCCACCGGGGATTGAACCCAGAACCTCAGGACTACGAATCCCGAGATGATTTCCTCACTGTCACCTCCACCTCACTGTCCACTCAGCTGTCAGGCACCTTGCACAAGTACAGTACAGTCAAGTGACCAATCTACCTCGGATTATAAACGATCATTGCCATGTTATAATTTTGAGTAACGCCACTCAAGACATGCACCTCCGTGACTTTCTAACAATTATCCAGCTAAGTTTGTTTCTAATCTGTTTGCCAACTGGGCTCAATTTGGTTAGGATTAATTTACAAACTATAATCAAGGGTCATGGTTACAATGCATGGCAAAACCACTGCTGTAGGTAAGCATCGTGGCACAAATGTTTTGTTTTCTATAGCAATCTAATATTCAATGTGCACAGCCATACAATAAACTGCTACACTTACTAGTGGCCTAATGTTGCAGTCATTCATTCAATTTAGTAATGTGGATAATTCTTGTGAGAATAAGGGGGTAGCACATCCTTACCTGCAAGCTAGTGTCAAATCCTTCAAATTCTCACAATAATGGATTTAATCCTTTATTGTCCTTCTATATTGCGAGTCTACCTACAAGTTAAGTGCTCATACCCTATGTCATTACTGATTGGTTTTATTTATAATTCTAGACATTTCTATGGTGAATAATTTAAGAAATCTAGAGAAGTTGCAAATGGATTAAATTTTAATACAAAATTCCCTATGGAGACTTGGTGGACCTTCAAAAATCTATCTGTTTAAAAAGAGAAGTACAGTATTATGCAAAGGAATGCCAGTCATCCCAGATAAGTCTATTTCCATACCAGGAACAGTTGAGAACTGCAGGACTAACACACTAAATTAGACACAAGAGTGCTGATCTCATCAAGACTAAAATACTGAACAAATTGGAATATATTAATCCAGATCACTAAGATTTTAAAGGTGTAATGTAACTAAATGGGGGCAACAGCTTCAAGCTCAATACACCACACTAGGATTTAAAATAAGAAATGCTTAATCGCCCACAGGATGGCCCATCCGCAAATGCTATAAATGCCTAAAAGGTACTCTAGTTCCAAATTCACCTGCAAAAATCCCTCATGAATAATGGGGGACCTATGACAACTACTAGAGATGGTGGTCCTCGTGCAAGTATTTTATCCTAAAATGTCAAAGTTTAGCACATCTGGATTTTGTTTTCATTACTGTAAATTACCTCATCTGAGCTGTCAAAGTAGCACATTTTATTCTTGACTTTCTTTCTCTTCTTTGGAACATCGTCTTTTACGGTGGAGATCCCAATAACGAGGTTTTTTAAGAGTTGGATCGATTGCCGATTTCCACAACCGTCTTTAGATTCTTTAGCAGGAACGTCACAACCCTCGTCATGAGTTATAGCAAATTTCAAATTACTGTAAGAGAACAATGTTGATCATTTCTACATATTTCACAAAATGTTTTTACAGTATATAAATTATTTTTTCCTTGATATTTTCAACAGAAAACTGTTTATGGAAAAAAGTTTTATTCACCATATCCTGAAACTGGACTATAATGTTAACATATAATTGGTTCACAAACGAATCTTTCACTCAAGTTCGTGTTGATTTTTGACCCAATTAAAAATCTAAATTTTGACTCTGCCTCTTTACTTTGTCACATCTACCAGTATCAGAACCTATATTTTCTATTACAAATTGTTTTTGCTGGATTGAGTAAGTGCACAAATGTATTGAAATATGATCATGAGGCATATAAGCTACAATAGACAACTCACATTTAATGTGGTCAGCTTCTTCACAGGGTAAAATTTAGATCATCTTTTGATTCAACATTTGCATTCCAAAGACTCATAAATCAGTTAAAATCAGAAATCATTCCAAAGACAAAGAATCAGTGACTTATAAATTGTCTCGAACATAAATTTTTCATTACAGAATGCAATCTGTTCAAATTGCACACCTAACCTAACCTACCATGGAACCTGACTGCTAAATCTTTAGCTGTCAAACAACTGCATGGAAATTACAGCTGATGCAAGTCACCAAAGCCTTTGCTGGAATTATGTGAACTTCAATTATGATCCAAGAAAGAAAATGCAAGTCATATTTTTGTGACTTGTAAGAATTTTGTGAACATTTGCAAGAATGTTCCCAAAACTTTGCACAAAAAATAATTCTAATTATTGAAAGCATGTATATTTATAAAAGCAATTTTTTTATAAAGTAAACACTTATAATAAAAGAACTGGAAACAAAATGAACAAATAAGATTAAAGGCAAATGTATTTTTAATAATAATAATTCATTTTGTCAGGGACAGGCAACCTATATGTATGTATATGCAAGGATAATCACAAAAAACCTGTGAGGCAGTTATGTGCAAGTATCCACTAGGAAAATGAAATAAAACTTTTGAACATTTTAATATTTCAACACATTATCAAGGAATACAGACAGAAGACACAGGTTGGGGATTATCACTCCACTACACAGAGTAGATAAAGATCCATAAACAAAATATCGAATAATGGCGACATAAAGAAGTGACATAAAGGTGGGATGATTATTTGGGTATTCCCTAATTCTTCGAATGTGCTACACATTTTGTGTGTAGCACATCGTTTACAAAATGTTATACCAATCACAAATGTTACCAATTATAAAGCTATCTAATTTACATAATCCTGGACTTATATTAATATTATGTAATTCATTACTTTTTATAAATGAAAATATAAATAAATTCATTTATAAAAAATATCTATCATTTAATGCCCCCGTTAACCGAGTAGTAAATAGGTACTGATGAGTGAGTCAGCTTCTTGTGGGGTTGTATCCTGGGGAGGGTCAGTGGTTCCACCTTGGCACGGGACTTTGGTATAAGTCTAACATGTATATCTACATTGTCTACCTGTCCTCCTGACACAATAAATTATTATTCTTATATGGCCATGGCCTGAAGGCTTAGATGCATGATATGCATCTGTATTCTCAAAAAGTTTTATATATACTCCCAATGTTAAAACTATTCTGACATCTAAATTACTGCATATCTAACATTCAAAATGCCTACTGTAAGTAAATTTTCTAGGACTTACGTATCTAATAATGCAGTGAGCCGCTTGGCTAAGTAGGAAGAGAGTGATGAAGGCGGCATCAAAGTGCAAGGTATGCTGGCCTTCCTGTGATGTACTTCCATGCCTGGAGGTGATGACCTGTCATTTACCTTCAAACCAATCGGATAATGCCCTGTTAAAAATGGAATACAAACATTAATTTTCCCTCAAACCCTCAAACTAATTAAACATCTATAAACATCATCCAAGGCCAAGGTGCTTTGCAAGCGCTTTGGCCTGGGTTCATATCCTGGCCGAGGAGGATTGACTGGGCACCAATCGTTAACTATAGCCTCTGTTAACCCAGCAGTGAATGGATACCTGGTTGTTAAATAATTTGGCGGGTTGTAGTCCGGGGGAATTTTTTTTATTAATTTAAGGACTTGCCCGAAATGTTATGCGTGCTAGTGGCTGTACAAGAATGTAAGAACTCTTGTATAAATAAATAAATAAATAAAATACAGTACTGTATATTAAAGTATTGTGTTATATATGCAGCACGCAACTGCTTACCGCTAAGATTTATAATTTTATACAATAAAATACTATACTGTATACTGTAGCTACAAAAATATATAAAAGCTAATTATGGGAAAATAAAATTAGAATTATATTTTAGGAATAATGTGTTGCAAGCCATTCAACATGAATAACATTTTAACTGTCTGATGTTTTAAAGTTAGCTAACACTATGGCAAAAAATTTAACAAATCTGTATTACCAAAATAAATAAGAAACATAATCAAGCCTAATGTTAAATAGCACTGTAATTTATATACTGTACTGTACATGATTTTGCACATTCAACAATGCTGTTGTATCACACACTGTCCACTTTGTGATGGGATTTTGAACATTGTATAAGCCTGCATCCAATGAATCCCCAATTCTTAGGTTAGTAGAAGGATTTATTTTAATCCCCAATTCTTAGGTTAGCAGGAGGATTTATTTAAGAGATTTTGGCACCGACTGCTAACAAAGCACTACACTGCATCTGAGGGGAGTATGATCCAATCATTCACAAGATGAGTTGGTTAAGCTCATTTTCCGTTTGTTAAAACAGCACATATTGTTAGGTTAGGATGTATTAGCTTAGGTTTGGCTGGTTTAGGTTAGAATGGGTTAACTTGGGTAAAGTTCTGTTGGGTTTAAAATCTGTTAGTGAACCATCTTGTGTATGATGAGACTTGTATCCATCTGAGGCAGACCAGACCTCTGAGAACACCATCTTGACGATTACTCGGGTGACATGACGCAGGTTATCATGGTTCATGGGTTAAATCATACACAGACGCTTCAACAAAACTCACTTTCTAATTCTTATAACTGTCCATGCCATTAATGTAGGTTACACTGGGGTGGGCAGAGCTAGGATGGATTGGGTTAGTTTTGAAAGGTATTAAGATATGCCGGCAAACTGTCTTATGTACGAAGTAGCTTGTAACCAGCTATTTTGAAGGGTACTCGGTAGTACAGTCAGGTTCATTCTCAATTCACAATTGGGATTTCCGGGTTTGAATTCCAGACGGGACGGGATTGGTTGTCCATGTTTCCTATCACCGAATGTTTCTTCTGTTCACCTAGAAGTACAGTAACAATGTTCCTAGGAGTTAGTCAGCTTGTTGTGGGGCTGCATCTAGGGGAGGAGGAAGGGGGGGGGGTCAGTAATAATAATAATAATAATATTTTATTTAGGAAAAGTACATACATACAGTCCGTCTAATTACCGCAAGCTACCACAAGCTACACAAGCTTCACTAAGCTTCCTAGCAATACGTTAGTAATGAATAAATATGATATATTTACTCATTATAATGTTGGTGCTGAATGTACAACACGAAAAAACATAATTTTAATCTGAAAAAGTATCTTTTTATAGAGAAATTAGACGAAAATAAAGAGCTGGTGACGCCAAATCAAGTCGACGATCAAAGCGTCGGTTAGGTTGGGTTAGGTTAGGTCAATTTAACCTAAAATATCATATTTATTCATTACTAACGTATTGCCAGGAAGCTTTGTGTAGCTTGTGGTAGCTTGTGATAATTTGACGGCCATCATACATACATAGATGCAGAGTTACAAACATTCTGATTGATTTATAGTTCCACCTTAGGGGGACCTCCATATAAGCCTAACACATATACACTGGCTGCCTGTCCCCAGACACAATGGGTAATTACCTCTCCTAGACAGCAACTGTTGTATCTTGCCAGCAAGAAGGAATGATGCCCTTGTCTCCCCGCCATGACTGAGGTGCGGCCCGTCCTCCTGCAGGAGGCCGCTGGTCCCTCCCGCAGGCGGCTCCCCGCCTCGCGGGACCACGAAGCTCGGGTCACAAGCTTCTCTGTACCGAGAATTATCCTCACTCTCGGAACTGCTCGAGTCACTCATTTTGTAAAGGTGTAAAGATAATTAAGCTTAAAAATGGCCTCCAAAGGGCACAAACCATCTAAAAAGAAAGTGCCCAACCGGCGCCTGCAGGGTGTTGTTGTCGCCTGGTTAGGGGCAGCTAGAGCACAGGGCGGCTTGACTTGCCCGAAATGTTGTACTCACCTAGTTGTGCTTGCGGGGGTTGAGCTCTGGCTCTTTGGTCCCGCCTCTCAACTGTCAATCAACTGGTGCACAGATTCCTGAGCCTACTGGGCTCTATCATATCTACATTTGAAACTGTGTATGGAGTCAACCTCCACCACACCACTGCCTAATGCATTCCATCTGTTAACTACTCTGACACTGAACAAATTCTTTCTAACGTCTCTGTGGCTCATCTGAGTACTAAGTTTCCACCTGTGTCCCCTTGTTCGTGTCCCACCCGTGCTGAAGAGTTTGTCTTTGTCCACCCTGTCAATTCCCCTGAGAATTTTGTAGGTGGTTATCATGTCTCCCCTTACTCGTCTGTCTTCCAGGGACGTGAGGTTCAGCTCCTTTAGCCTTTCCTCGTAGCTCAATCCTCTCAGTTCCGGGACGAGCCTGGTGGCATACCGATGGCTATGCGTGCTATTGGCTGTACAAGAATCTAAGAACTCTTGTATATAAGAGCTCTTGTACCTTATCTATTAATCCTCTCAATATATTGCATGTTGTGATCCTATCCCTCCCCCTTCTGTTCCTTCTATCCTCTAGAGGTTATAACATTGTTCCTTTAGCCTATTCACATAGCTTGATCCTCTTAGCTCTGGCATCAATCTTATTGCAAATCTTTGTACTTTTCAATTTTTACTTTATGCTTCACAAGATGCAGATGCAATGCCTATACTACATATTCCAGTATTGGTCTAACAAATATGTAAAGTGCCTTGAAGGAGTCCTGATTTAGGTTTCTAGATGATGTTCTTTCTTATATTTAACAGTGTCTCATTTGCTGCTGATGTCTTTGTGTTTGCTTGTGCCTCTGGTGTTAGTGTTGGAACTATATTCACTCTCAAATCTCTCTCTTTTTCAGATTCCTGTAGTTGCCTTCCCATTATGGTGTAGATGCTTCTTGGTCTCCTCTCCCACTCCCCATTTTCATTACCTTACACTTTGTTGGCATTGAATTCCAGCAACCATTTGTTTGACTACTCATGAGTTTGTTTAGATCCTCCTGTAACTTCATGCAGCCATCCTTTTTACATTCATCATCAGCTTTGTCATCTGCAAGCATTGACATGTACAAGCTCTCTCTCTCGGGTAGGTCGTTCGCAGATTAGAAACTGCAGTGGTCCCGAGACAGAGCCACCTCTCTCCTAGGGCAGAGCCTTCTCAAAACAGAGCCTCTCTGTGTCCTGGGACTAAGACACAGAGAGCCCTTTAAGGCATAATCTCTCTCATAGTTTGAATGACATTATTAAGAAAACTATGAAATACTGAAAGGCATTTTACTTAAAATGTTTATTTATTTAAATTATCTGCCCAAAACACTATGCTGTTAGTGGTTTGCAAGAATGTAAAAATAACATTATGTAATCTCACAAACCCATTGTACCTTCGTGTAAGTAAACAAACAAAATATTTTTATAAGAAAGTTTTGAAAAAAAAAATTTCCTCTCCTTTCTCCTCCATAGAACATTTTATTTGTTTATTTATATATATATATATATACACGAGTTCTTAAATTCTTGTACAGCCACTAGCATGCATAGTGTTTCGGGCAAGTCCTTAATCCTATGTTCCCCAGAATACAACCCCGCCAAATCGTTTAACAACTAGGTACCCATTTTACTGTTAGCTAAACAGAGGCTACAGTTAAGGATTGACGCCCAATAAATCCTCCCCGGCCTGGATAAGAACCCAGGACAAAGCGCTTGTGAAACGCCAGGCGAGTGTCTTACCAACTACACCACGGGAACTGCTTCTGCGTCTGCAGGGACTGCTTAACATGACATTCTTAAGTAAACTCTGAAAATGATGGCAACATTAGGAAAACCTTTCATCATTTGCTGCCATTCCCTGACTTTACTCATCACATAATTATTGAAATGTATTCATTTGTTTTTTCTTCGTCTAGCTGTTTATTTTGGTAAGCTACTTGGATGCTTCTCATGTCTGCAAGATCTTCAGTCAATTTACTTTTGCTTTTAACAATACAGCCATATAACAATGCTGTACATGCTATGGGTTTTTGGTAGTCTAGCACTGCGTCACATCTGGCTTGCCCTAGAAATATTGTCCCACTTTCCATCTCCAGTAAGTGGAGTCAGCATTTGTATGATTCAGCCATGGTGCTGTAGCACATTCTAGATTCTGTTTCTAAATATTGCACTGACTTGGACACAGCGAACTCTTCTGGTTATTATAATAGTTTTCTCTTGCTACTTCTCAAGCATTGTGTACATGCATGTCCCATTCTCGTTCATTTGTGCACCTATTTTCTTGCCCTTCCTTTCTTCAGGTTCAACTAAATATACTTCTTTAATGCAGTCGGGTCATGACTGAAAATTTTCAAATTCAATTTTGAGGCAAAACATACACATCTAGGCATGTTTCCTTTCACCTAACAGCTCTGTTCACCTAGCAGTAAATAGATACCTGGTAGTTAGGCGACTTGCGAGTTACATCTTGGGAAAGTAGTTGGCCTACGGGGACATCAATAGAACCAACAGGTTTCCTGTCCTTGACAATTGGAAACTAATTACATCACTGGATGGTTTTGCTCATCTAACAAGCCACGTGCTTTTATAATCTACCCCTTTTCATACCAGCATTATTTCTTCTTCTAAGTCCACCAAAAGCCACACAAGCTATGTTGATTATTTATTTCTCCTGCTCTTATTCTAAGTTTTCATTCTAATGCAACTTTATGCATTACTGGTAATTCTCTGAACTATATTATCTGCATTGCTTTCTCTGCTCTGTTCCATTTACTTGTTACATCACTGTATTGTACTCTCTTAACATGCTTCATTCATAATGGAGCAGCTGGGTTATCATGGATACGCAAGCCTGTGGACCAGCCTACGGGTCATTCCAAGCAACAGCCTGTTGGATCAAGTTGTCACAAGTTGAGCCTGGCCTCAGGGCAGGCTCGGGGAGTAGAAGAACTCCCAGAACCCCTCTCCAGGTATGCTACAGTGTCAGCTACAGCCTTACTGATAAAGATATTACCAGAAAAGCCTGGCTGCAGGTGTATTACAACTCTTGAAACTAGCTATAGGTAAACTACAGGTGATAGCCTTCTCTAATATCATCTTGATCTCTCGTAACTCCATCCACATATACTATATGTACAAAGAACATTCATGGAGACACCGTACAGCTCAGATGCACCGTATATCAATCATGTAAACACCACACAGCTTCGATGCTCTTTTACATTCAAACCAAACCTGTTAATGAGGAAAACATAACTTATATATGACCACCAGATCAAATGCCTCAATACTTTGGAAACTTTAATTACATACCAGTTAAAGAAGATTACTTATAAAAACACTGAATTAAATAGCTACATTTTATTGGTATCACAGCATGTTCATATCATGGTATCCATGTTTCTACAACAATGACCCTAATTTGTCCTACTCTAACTTGTTAACAAGAAATATAAAATCAATATATCTATATTATAATCATTCTCTGAACAATACAATTTATAAATACAGCATTTATATACACAATTAGATATACATTAGACTATATAACTATGGTAATTTTATGTTTGTATGAAAAGGTCTTTGGAATGTCTAGATCCACAAAAGTTTTAGACCGTGACGCCGATATCGCCTAATATCTCCGAGAGTCGTTGAAGGCTCGTGAGTAATAGTTCCTGAGAGTGGCCGGGAGATGACCTGTGTAAAAGTTGCAATGCATTGATGTACTCCAGCTCTGAGAACTGCTTCCCTCGGTTCATTATTGCATTGAGAATTTCCTGCAGATTAAAAAGAAGTTTTAGTATTACTGTATACTGTATATTTATTATTTGTGTTTTTTGTATTCTTCATTATGGCATTACAGTACAGTATATAGGAGATATATTAAGAAAATAGTGAAGGCATAGGATGGAATTCAACCTTGAACTCCTCGGTAGAGAAGAAATATTATCAACATTTGGATTTTGAAGAAGATATATTATTGACATTTGGATTTTGAATTCATTCTGGTTTTGAACACTCCAACTATGTATGTTCAAACTTACAAATAGGTAGCAAAAACAAATAATAATAATAATAGGTTACTGTGAATTACCAATTCATCTAATTATGCATGACCACATGTACATAGTACTCACGTCTGGAGAATGATACATCATCTCATAATACTGCCGCGCTTGGTCCAGCGCCAGCTCTCTTGTCATGGTGATGTTGGTAAGCTGCTGCTGAATGCTAAAGATGTTCCTACACATTTTCTTGATTCCATTTTCATTGATGCGGCGAATGTGCACTACAGATGTCATTAATATGTTGGCTATCAAAGGTCCCAAGCCTTCAAAGATATACTGAAAAGATATGTGCAGTGACCTAGAGATACGGTGTTTCATACCTTGTAAAATATGTTGAATCAAATTAGAAGAGAAAACGAAAAGTAAATTTAATTGAAAGAAATCAGTGAAAGTGGTCAACTATAGGAATTTGCTGATAATTTTGCATATCTAAGATATGTGATTTACAAAAAGAGGAATTTGTGAAAGCAAAATTGGGAGTCCATTAAATCAATAAGATGCTTCTGCAAACAATAAAGCACTTACTTTCATAGTAACTTATCCCAACCACAACTTCAGAGAAGATTCTGATGGCATAGAGAAGTTGCAGAGGTATGCCACCTGACTAGTCCCACAGTTGAGAGGTATGAGTTACGAGGAAAGGCTATGGGAATTAAACCCCATGTCCCTGGATGACAGAAGAGTTAGGGAAGACATGATCATTCCCTAAAAAATTCTCAGAAGAATTTGACAAGGTGGACAAAGACAAATTATTTAGCATGGGCAGAACACAAACAAGGGGACACAGGTGGAAACTTTGAACTGAAATGAGCAACAGAGACTTTATAAGGAATTTTTTCAGTGTCAGGGTAGTTAGCAGTGATGTGGCGGAGACAGACTCCATAGACAGTTTCAAATGTACATATGATGATATGACAGAGACTAACAGGCTCTGGAACCTGTACACCAGTTGATTAACTGTTGGGAGGCAGGACCAAAGAGTCGAAGCTCAATCCCAGCAAACACAACTAGGTACTCACTTAGATGGTCAAGATCTATCACCAGATAGATCTTGACCAACAACTCAAAAATAATTAAGAGATAAAACCTGAAACATCCATATGAATGTGCTGAATTTTTGGGAACATATAGAGGCCGTACAATGGGACTGAACCCCACATCCCTGGACTCCCCAGACATGGTTCTGTCTGTAGTGTGTGCGCCTAAGGAATCCAAAGATGTGGGATCGCTCACAAAAGATGGCCTCAATACTCTTTCAACCCCCTGTAACAACTAAAGCTGTTTTAAAATAAGTAATTGTATGGAGGCAGTGGGATATGCCTTTGTACAAAAGTTAGAGTAAAGTTGTAGTTTGACCTGACCCAAGCACAAGGTCATATCTCCTGAGGATTAGCGGTTGAGATACAAAATGGCCACCACCTTTGTCTTAAAGCAACGTATAATGAATTATTTTACAGAATTCAGTAATTTAGAGAAATTAGTCTTCATTCAAATTTTCAAATTGTATTCAATAGTATTCCTGTTTAAAGTATCAAGAGTATCCTAAATTGACATAATACTTTAGTAAGTCACCATCAGTGACGTCACGAGCCGGGACTAGCCCTTGGCGCGGAGTGACCTTGACAACCTGGCGGTCACGGGTCATCAGATTTTTCCACATTTAGTAATTCTCAAAAGTCAAATAGCCATTTTGTAATCGGAAATAGCTCTTCCCTAAGATGCCTGTGCAATTACCTTCAGTTTATAAGAGTTCAACCATCTGGGTCGTTCCGTACAACAGAGATTAGTTGTTTAACTTAAACCCTGCTAGTAAACTTGGTAAGCCTAGTGTACGAATACCCTCCTCCGGCTTCTGTGTTGAGCAGAGCGAGGTAGGATCAGTGTGGACCGGTCATCAACTGGGAGAGGTACCCCATCTCCACCTCTCCCCAAGATCAGCATTGCATCAGCTGGTCACGTAAAGAGGTATAGTTGCTATAGTTTGGTATAGGAAATTAGTTCATCTCATGCCTTAAGTCAGGGAGTGTTAATGATAAGGAGTGCTTTGATTTAGATTTTGTTTTAGATTTTGAATAAATTATTTAGTTAGTAATTTGCATTTTTATTATTTCCATTTTTATGTTTTTATATTGTTCATTGTCCTTGACACCTGGTTTCCACGAGTCCGAGTTTTGGTTGGGCCGCCAGCCCAACAACCATTAAGAGTTCAGCTATCCCTTGTGTTTGTGAGAATTACCCACACATAACGTAGATTCTTCCCTCCTATTCCAAATAACTGGGGATCAAGCCCCAAGGTTTATTGAGAACATAATCGGTCCAGACCTCGGTTATTGCTACCAGTGTTAATGGTCAGGTGGTGGCGGCGTAAGGATATTCTAGAGTTTGCTAGGGGTCTAGTTCCACGTCGTAAAGGCTGTAGAATCTTAGCCGGTGAAACGGCTTAAGACCACGTGGCGTGGGATTCGGCTTAGATTAGTAGCTCTGGGGTCCCTTGGATTGAAGAGAAATAAATCAGAATTCGGGTAGATGTACAGTAAGGGGTAAAGGACGGAGAGCCGTAACCCCCCCTGTGTTACAACCCCCCCTCCCAGGGTTGAATTACTGAACCCACCTAGGATGCAACCCCACTACAAGCCGACTAGTTCCTGGGTATGTATTTACTGCTAGGTGATTGGGGACATTAGGTGATAGGAAATGCACCCAACAATTTCTGCCCCACCCGGGATTCAAACTCGGAATTCTCGATTGTGAACTGAGAATAAACCAAACTGTACTATAATTATCAATAACCTGCTTGCATCTTAGTTCATTCTTCGAAGACCAAGAAAAGAGAGCTGCTAGTTGGTGTTATACCCACCACCTCAACTAAACACTGAAAATACAGAACTGAAATACCTTATGTGCACATACACAGCTTATAACTAAATTCAAATATTGTACATGTATTTACTCATACAAGTACTGTATTGTACCTTGCATTTCCGTGGATGTAACGTGTTACTGAGTGCTTCATCAATGGTGGCAAGATCCTTGATTAGTTTGAGGACATCAGTGTCAGGCTCCTGGGAGTCCAGACCGGAAGCAAACCCTCCTCCCCTGGCCACAGGGAGCAGGTAGAAAAAGCAGTGAAGACGAACCTGAAACATAAATATTGGTACTGAAACATTAGACCTGTAGGAGTTGCAGTTTCCATTATGCCCATATCTTAATGTTCTCTTAGCATAGAATTTGCATGTGACATTGTACTTGTGGAAGATTTGTCTGTGCCATTTAAATTCTATTAATATCTAATTCATTAAATAAATCAGGATCTGAGCTATATGAACAGTTTCATTCTGAGTGGATCATTTGGTTGATCACTTATGTAAAATCCACTGTGTCTATTGGACATGATTATGCAGTCAGGTAAAAACATACTGTACTACAATGGCACCAGAGGGAACTTTTCAAACTGCACACTCACTATGCAGTATACTACACTTATCTCTATGTATATATACAGTACTGTACTACATTCACAGCCTACAAGTGCACATACACTGTATTACACCAACCTCTAAATGTAGCACCAACAAACATGTATGTGCAAGCTCTTCAAAATCTTTTGCGAGAGATGTAAGCGTCTGCACAGAGGCATCTGAGACTGGAGGCACTTCACCCGACACCATAATGCCAGAAGACGTGGATTTTTTGGGGAGGGACGTTGCAAATTTAACGATGCAGCTTCCGAACCATTCCTGAAGTGATCAATCATCGACATAAAATACATGATGATGCAGCTTCTAAATCCTTTCCAGCAAGAAACGATCATCGACATAAAATACTTGTCGTGTACCTTCAGAATCATTTCAGAAAAAAGAATAATCACTTACATACAAAATGTTTGATTAAACCGAGGATGTAAGATACCCTACACTGAACAATCACAGCCATAAAATACTTTACTGAGTGAAGGATGAAGATACTGTAGTTTGATTTTACTTCACTGGATATTTTTAAGTACTCTATCGTGTAAAAGGAAAATCAAGTGTGTGATGCTTTATCAAACACACACCATCTTCGTATACAACTGAGCTCAAATTCTTACCTGAAGCAAATATATTTATAAATATGTGATGTATACAACCCTACCATTAACCCTTAATTTTTAACTTTAAGAATCTTAGAGATACAGGTTACTGTAATTTCTGGCAAACTAGAAACCAAAATAAATTCTAATTTGTTCATTTTTGGACATTCTCAGTAAAAAAGTGGTCTAACTTGAATATGGGTGGGCCATCATATGACTCAAATTATCAAGCATAGACAGTACTTTCAACAAACTTAATAAACTTACTAGACTCTCTTGCAAATGAGCCAAAGTCCGTAGCTGTGATGGATCAGCCAAAATCTCGTGCTGTGGTATCAGCTGATCTCCAAGGTTACCAGTAAGGATTTCCGCTTCCTTCCGATTACGTTCACCAACCTGTTGAAATCAGGAAAATCATTTGACAATTGATGTAACTTGATAGAGCATGAGGATATATATACACTACTAACTGCATGTATATGCCTGAGGAGTTGAGAGATGTGGGTTTGATCCAATCGTCAATATTTGTTTATAGATTCATCACGTTCTTGCGAGTTCATTGTGCAAGATATACAGTAGTTGCAATAAGTCAGCAGTCAACCAATGAGACCAAACAATGCATCCCAATTTCTAGTGAAAAAAAAAGAGCTAAAATAACATCAAGTGTCTATTAAATGGTATTGCTGATTTGTAATCAAATAGAAAATTGAGATATGATTCATTAAGTCAAGGGTGATGTACAGTGTTTAGAAAGTCTATTTTTGCAATATTAAATATCCCTTATTGCCCATAAATTTTGGCATATAACACAACTATTGTAACAGAATCCAAATATTAATATTACATAAGCACAATGCTACAGGATGGAAAATCTTCATACCATAAACCCCCCATCCCAGAAACACACAAAATCAGGCTCTCGGTACTTGGTATATGAAAAGCTCTTTCACAGTCTGACACTCAGACAGTCACTCGGGCACTGGTGCAGCAGGTGCCTGTCCCCCTGCTGAGGCCACTAGAGATGATGTCCCTCGGGTAAACTTAAGTAAATTACCGGGTGTTAGGAAAAAATTCAAGAAAACTTGATGCAGGTCAGAATAATCCCTAGAAGGCTCAATACTGTACTGCATACTTCTGGTTCTTCCAAGTGCTGTTTAGCATAAGCGAGATCATCAGGCAGCTTTCACATTATCTACTGACTGGCCCGTTTTGTCTTCTCGCTTGCTACCAGGTAACACCAATTACTCCACCACAAGATTCCTTAGCCAGAATTTCCTCACATTTTATCTTTACCACCAAAAGCACACCAAGCCATGTACATATGCAAATATTTGGACATTTACCAACTCAAGCCACATAGTCATGCATCAACCCATGTACATGCACAAAGCCAAGTTCGTACACCAAATTATATAAACAAATTCAACATAAATTCCTTTACATTATAATGTGGAGTAAAACTTTGCAGATAAGTACTCCCACAATGCTTGAATGTTTCATAAGTTCTGTATTTATTTTCTTAAGGTTGATTTTTCAATGAGAAATAAATAGCTCGACCCACACATGAAACGAATTGAAAGTAAGAACGTTTTGGTCTGCAGTGGACCCTTTTCAAGTCATTAAAACTTAATAAGGATCCAGGACAGACAAAAATATCGTCACTTTCATTTCGTTTCCCGTACGGCATCTGGTTATTTATTTTCAGCAAGTTACTGTGACCTATTCTCTGAATAAACGAGACTTTCACCTTCAATCATTCTTCCATTTACATGCAGAATTGCTTTCCTAGGGACAGTACGCACCTCCTCTGGGTTTTCTTCTCCCTCAACAGCACACTCAGTAGACACTCCTGCCTGAAGGGCTCTCCAGTTGGGCAAATCTCTGTCAGAGAGAGAGCGTGTACAAATTAGCCTCATCTTAAGTTATCCAATTATCCAAGACTCCCAACAATGACATTTATAGTTTGAATCACATATTGTTTATCTAACTTGTCTTTTTCTTTTTCAGTGATTCTTCTTCATTTGTAGCTAAATTATGATAAAAGTTAAAATTATATATGTAAAATGTGGGATGAATGAGTGTGAGAACACATGTTGTATAGATTTACTTTATATAACATCAGTAAAAAAAATCCTCAGGCCACCAGAGATGGTGGTCCTTAGGTAAAAGTCAAATCAGGTACTTACAGAAAAATACATCACTAAGAAACCTACTGTTAAAGAAAGACTTCTGTACTTTTTGTCAAAACAGCTAATCCATATACCTAGCCATTTTTTTAAGACTATTTTTTTTAGCAAGAATATCAGTATCTTCAATACACTGTAACTAATACCCCACATACCTTAAGAATCTACTAATATCCTCATCCTTGGCCCACGTAGCAGAAATGATCCTCTTGTCCTCGGAGTCTGGTTGGGTGATGCCTCGGTATGCCGCCTGGCACGTCTCGCGGTAGTTCATGAGTGTGTTGCACATCATAGAGACAAAATGGTCAGCATAGAGTGGCAGCGCCCCAAGCAGCCACCTTAGTTCCTCGATACTCTGCCACACGCTGATGCTGCTCTGGTAGAGAGAATACAAACACCATTACTGGTGGCAGGACAAAATGGTAACACTATCCCGAAGAAACCATAAATCCAAAAATTTTACCAGTCGGTATTTGCTTGTGCACCTAGATGTAAACAAAGTACTCTTAATTAACATGTCATATGAACTACTATACAAAGTAAACTGTTTACATAATACAACTCCAATTTATTTACCAATATCATTTTAAATAATCATCACTTCCCCATTCGCCATTTTCATGAGATTGAGGGCACTTGGGCACTAGTGCCTCCTGCCCAATTTCCTTCCCTTTGCATTGCAGGAAAATGAGACTTTTTGCACTAATGAGTATTGCTTGAAACAACTGCCACATCCCTACTCCAAATAGTAAGGATGTGGCAGTTGTATTATGATAAAAATGCACCATCCAAGCAATACCTAGAAGGAAGGGTCACGACAAATAAATTGATGTGTGTGTGCATTTAGAAATATTGTAGTAGGAAAACATACCTGTAACAAAGGCCTATTGACTTTCATGGTCTTGAGCAAGCTGGGGTCCTTGCATGTACGCCACTGATCCAATGCTTTAGTGGCTTGCTCCAACCGTCCCGCAGTCTCCACGTGCAACTGTGCCAGGAACGCATCCTTAATGTAGTCGGTGATGAACACATACAATGTACAATGTGTCCTGCAAACACATAAGAGGTCCACTCTAGTATATTCAGATTAGTACAAACATTTATATTAATAGTCACTAAACTCTTTAAGTTATACTAATGAGTGATATAGAAAAAAGATGCCATAACAAAATACTGTAGCATAAAACACAATAAATAAAATAAAATTAGCTAAATATTGTATGTTACTGCAAATAATGAATAATGTGAAATATGTCACACATCCTGTACTAAGTCACCAATTCTAGTACAGTATTAGCGATGCAAGTTTATGTGCCAGTTTTTTGCACAATTAAACACAAAATACAACTGAAAACATTAAGATGCCATGTAAAATAATAGTTACAAATACAGTAGATATATAGGAGAGGAAATGAAGTATGTAGTTCAGTGGAACTACAGAAGAGGAAATGAAGAATTAAGTGCAGTAGATCTACATGAGGTGAAAGGGTAATCCTTGGTAGGCATGCATACCTGAGAGAGTAGTCCAAATAAAATCTGAAGTTAGAACATCAGTGTGAAGAGAATGCATGAAAAGTATAAAACAAATAAAATCACAATAAATATTTGACAAATAAAAACATGACATGCAGAGACAGAGAATGCTATGGAATTATCTTGAACCATTTCTAACTGGATCAATATAAGACAGACAAGGTGTGCATTTATCAGACACAACCCGTTTGGCAAACAACGAAATAACTTTGTGTATGAATCGGAAGCTCTGAAAACAAATGAGCTAACCCATATGTATGAAAAGAAATGTCACAACCTGATGACGGTCCAGAACAGATAAAATTGTCGGCACTGTCATTTCTTTTCAAGTGTGTTGGTTGGATTATTTGATCAATCATTTCAACAACAGAAGTTTATGAAGATGATCAGATGGATGAACAAGATCCAATTCTAAAGCAACTTCTAATTTAACTGAAGATGAATGATAACCACCACAGCTGCCTTTCGTACCCTGGTGAACATCCAAGGGCATCTTCAATTTCTCTGACGAAAGATTGAAGAGGGTTGAAGATCGCAGTTATGTTGTGAGGTGACGCTGGACACACTAGTGGCTTCTCGTTCATGTTTTTACTACTGCTCTTAGCATTACTACCAGTGTTAGCATCTGTAAAGGATGGATACAATATTAGGAAAGAAGAAAAGAACAGCTTTAAGGTACATTTTTTTGGAATCAATTAAAACAAAAAACCACTTTGACAACATAATATTCATTCTTGAACTACATTATATCTCTAAATACAATTTCATCTATAATCTTATCAAATTTAGGAAATTAAAATTGGTGTTCTTTTGGGAGTACAGTAATTAAAGTGTTAATATTTTTTATGTGGAAATGAGAGAGACAGAAATATTATCAACCCTTTTCCAAAAGTATGATCTTCAACAGTTCATTACAAGTACAGTAAAGTCATTCACGAGCATTATATCGCTAACCAGGTTAATATGCAGCAGTTGTCATTCCTATGCAGTTATCTGTAAAGCACTCTGATATTTACGACAAGCCAGTGGGGTTTATGGTTACCCTCCCCAAACTACCTTCAGCCCCCAAACCCTAAGTCTTTAATTGCATTAAATTACAAACCACCACAGCCCCTTTCATAGAGATGCAAGTTAAGGAATACTGTACTGTGCATAGCAAACCACCACTATCTCACTCAAATACTATACTCCCTTCTATTAACTTTCCATCTTGCTTTTGCTATCTCATCTTCTTTTCCTTCTACAGCTAGTAAAGTTACACACAGTGACCTGCACGCACCTGGGATAGATAAACCAAAATCAAACTCGTCTAGTCCGCCTTGCCCGGCTGCCTGCTCCATAAGGTAAGAGTTCATTGTCATGGCATGATACGAGGCCTCAAATTTGAAAAGTGAGTAATTTTTGGACCTAAAAAAAAAAAAAATATGGTTATTAAAGTGCTAAAGATAGCTGCTATTGACATTAGACATTTATTATTAAAGTTTAAAAGTGACTAAACTTATTTATTATGTGAAAAACATCTTTGCTACAAAGTGACAAATATTTTTAAGATGATATAAAGATTAATGCAGTATATTTAAAAATCAAGTTCAGAGGCAAAATATAATATGTGCAGTCTCTAGTAAGAAGGACGTCATTGTAACCATGTGACAATATAATACTACACATTAAAGGTACAGTAAGTCATTTTCGTAATATCTAACATCAATTTCAATATCGGATATTACAAGACAATACAAGTGTAGTCTAAAATCAAAGGTTACAACAGGAAAATACCATACTGGAAACACTCTTAAAAGTATAAAATATTTTCACACAGAATTAAGCAGCATGATGCATGAATTAAGGGGCATGATGCATGAATTAAGAGGCATGATGCATGAATTAAGAGGCATGATGCATGAATTAAGGAGCATGATATCTGTGTAATTACATAAGTGTAATTATCTAGGTGTAGTTACAGGATGAGAGCTATGCTCCTGGTATTCCATTTCTCCTATAATTGTAATAAATCACTTTGAAACTGCTGATATTTTTGCACCACTGCCTTCTCACTGCACCATAATGAATGAGCTCACTTATTCGGATATAGTGGTACTGTACCTCCATTTTCAAATTTATTCCATTCCCAGAGACGGTTTGTAAACCTAAAATTCGTAAACCGAAAAGAGTTTTTCCATAAGAAAATGTGTTCCGGTTCCCGTGTTAGTCCTAGTCAAAAGCTCGCCCACTCACGCAACCGCCTGCCTGCCCGCCCACTGCTACTCACCCACCCACTCTAACCACCCATCCTGCTACTCCCACCTGCCCACCCACTGTCTCCTGACCACCCGGCTACCCACCTGCTCTGTGGGTTGGTAGTATTAAAAAATAATATAGAAAACAACAAACCTAGGAATGCGTTTCTTGGTGAAGAACGAGGAAATATCTGTGGCAGTCTCTGTGAATGTTGCCGCCGGAGCTTGCTGCTGGTTGGTCCCTAGTTGACTCAAGTCCAAGTATTCACTCAACATCACTTGAAGCTGTTAAACGGGAAGAATCGTATCTATACACTTTACATCATCAGATCTTTACAATAAAATATGTCATCCACACAGAAAATATTTTATGTATTCTATAAAGAACTCGGTATTTTTACATGACCACCTTTTATAAGGAGGCTATTCCCAACATGCTATGCCAGTCATGTCCCCAGTACAAAAAATATTATGATATTCAGTGTCCTTAAAATGTGGAACTGCATAGTAATGTAGGAAGATTGAGCTTCAGCAGGTCATGCTTGTGAATGACTGATTTACATAGGTAAGTAAATATTCTAATTACCAAAAGAAGATACCAAGCCAGAAAGACTACTTAATAATAATAGTAATAATTCATTGTGTCGAGAAGACGGGCAACCAGTGTATATATACTGTACTTTAAACTTATATCTAAGTAACCCCCACTCACCCCAAGGTTAAACTACTGACCCTTCCCAAGACGCAATCCCACAACAAGCTGACTAACTCCTGGGTACCTATTTACTGTTAGCTGAACAGGTCCATTAGGTGACATAAAACGAATCCAAGTAATTCTCCCACCAGAGATTCAAACCCAGAATTTTGACTGTAATACCGTGGGATATTCAGATGGTACCAAATATTACTCACAATCCCATTACAAAGTAAAAAGATGATGCACATAGAAAGACAGTGTGTGTGTTAAGTACTGTACAATGTGAGGATCAGCAAGCTGGTGGGATGAGTGCAGTGAGAGGAATGTGAAAGGATGGGTGTTGTGAGAGGAGTCGAGTACGAAGGGTGTGGTGAGAGGAGTCCGGTACGAAGGGTGTGGTGAGAGGAGTCTGGTACGAAGGGTGTGGTGAGAGGAGTCCGGTACGAAGGGTGTGGTGAGAGGAGTCTGGTACGAAGGGTGTGGTGAGAGGAGTCCGGTACGAAGGGTGTGGTGAGAAGAGTCTGGTACGAAGGGTGTGGTGAGAGGAGTCCGGTACGAAGGGTGTGGTGAGAGGAGTCTGGTACGAAGGGTGTGGTGAGAGGAGTCTGGTACGAAGGGTGTGGTGAGAGGAGTCCGGTACGAAGGGTGTGGTGAGAAGAGTCTGGTACGAAGGGTGTGGTGAGAGGAGTCCGGTACGAAGGGTGTGGTGAGAGGAATCTGGTACGAAGGGTGTGGTGAGAGGTGTGTGTGTGTAAAGATGTGGTATGGGGAGGCTCTATAATAAGAGTGGATGGTATGAATGGGTGTTTTCTGCTTACCTATATATACTAGAGTTCAGATCTAGCTCTCAAGCTCTGCCTGTTGGCTATGATATCTGGTGCAATTAATCATCACGATTTACTAATGTTCTATCTTATCTGTGCTTAAGCTTAGAATAAACACTTGTGCACTTCAAAATTTGGTGTTACAATACATACAGTATTGTGATTTTATAGCTATAATTTTGTGCACTTGTAACTGCCACACATCAATGGTCTATGTCATATTTCTTATATATAAATGGTTTCTATGCAATCTTCACTAGCTTCTAATGTTACAACAAATGTGGACTCTAGAATACATACAGAAGCTTGCACTTTGGACCAAACATCAGGCATGGTGTAGAGAAGCACTTCAATCCCATGTTTATCAGACGAGGCGCGCATACTAACAAGAACAGACTGATGAGCTGCAACTACTAGCCGGAACTGATCAAATACCACCTGTGCAAATAAATTTTTCAAGTAAACTCAAATAGTACAGTACTAGATAATATAGACATACAGTATATCGACTATGTCAGAAACCATGATTGGATCACAAGATTTATGCAGGTGCTAATATCTGCTTGTTTAGCATTGGGTCGAACCTGCAGGAGTTCCTGTAATAGTTTAGCCTCTCTCGAGTCAGCTTTTAAGTAAGCTGGCCCTGACACTGGTGGGTCGTCGGGGGGCGCTGAAGGGTGATACTCGACAATCTGTTGTGTCGTCCTCTGAATGATGATGCCAAGTTCTTTCTGCATCCGGCGCTTAATTGTCTGTAACATTATACCATTATTATTATTTATATATTTTTTAAATTTTGCTTGGAATATTACACGTAGTTAATTCACTTACTTTATACTGTGCCTCAGTAAAATAGCATTTTGTACATTTGGGTGGACCAAACTGAGGCAAAAGTGGAAACGTGGACTGTAAGGTTTGAAAGTACAGTATGTCAGAAGAGTGGTGTTGGATAAATATACAACAGCCTGGTACTAAAAATACAGGTACACATTAGCATACAATATGTAATATTAGGATATATCTACATATAGCCTAAACATATAAAAGGTGAACTAAAATGCATCATAACCATTGCAAAGTAAACATGCCCAAAGGCATACACACACACACACTTAGGAGTTTCTATGATCGAGCCATAGAGATTTTACAGGAAAGAGATGGTTGGGTTGACTGCATCTATCTGGACCTAAAAAAAGCTTTCGACAGAGTTCCACATAAGAGGTTGTTCTGGAAACTGGAAAATATTGGAAGGATGACAGGTAAGCTTCTAACATGGATGAAAATTTTTTTGACTGATAGAAAAATGAGGGCAGTAATCAGAGGCAATGTATCTGACTGGAGAAATGTCACAAATGGAGTACCATAGGGTTCAGTTCTTGCACCCGTGATGTTTATTGTCTACATAAATGATCTATCAGTTGGTATACAGAATTATATGAACATGTTTGCTGATGATGCTAAGATAATAGGAAGGATAAGAAACTTAGATGATTGTCATGCCCTTCAAGATGACCTGGACAAAATAAGTACTGTATATGGAGCACCACTTGGCAAATGGAATTTAATGTTAATAAATGCCATGTTATGGAATGTGGACTAGGAGAACATAGACCCCACGAAACCTATATATTATGTGAGAAATTTTTAAAGAATTCTGATAAAGAAAGAGATCTAGGGGTGGTTCTAGATAGAAAACTATCACCTGAGGACCACATAAAGAACGTTGTGCGAGGAGCCTATGCCACGCTTTCTAACTTCAGAATTACTTTTAAATACATGGATGGCGATATACTAAAGAAATACTTCATGACTTTTGTTAGGCCAAAGCTAGAATATGCAGCGGTTGTGTGGTACCCATATCTTAACACTTTCGCCCAGGCATGACGCAGCATTGCGTCATCCGTTTACTGTCGGTAATGCCGTGGATGACGCAGCATTGCGTCATCCACTTTAAATAATCGCCAAAAATCAGGTTTTTATCCTTTTTTTTGGGGACTGGTTTTAAAATGCGCGCCGATGTCTTCCCATTTTCTTTGTTGAGCCTCGTGGCCCTCAGGCAGCTCGGCACACGCTGTGGGCCCATTGTTTTCGCTCCACTGTTGTGACCAATGTCGCCTCCCCTTGCATCTCAAACATGTGAACATTTCGGCTATTTTCCGTGGCTATATTTCTTACTGCAGCTTTAGAAACTATCTACGCTTACTCCACGATGGATAGTGATCATGAACAAGGCCCTTCCAGGAAGAAAATTGCGAAAGAAAGGCTTGAAAAGGGCGGGAATTGGGAGTGTAGCTGGAAGGCGTCTGAGTGCTCACTTGCGGCTAACGCGTGGCCCGTCTTCAACTCGTCGGCGGTTGGAGCGTGACCAGGTTTTTTTATTTTATATGCTAATGTTCCTCTAGAGAATTCTATTGCGAACCCATTGAGACCAAAATGAAAGACCTAGGACGAAAATTGAGGTGACCAGAGTGAAAATACCCTGTAGTGAAAACATTTTATCGCGTTTGCGCGCTCCTGGGTAACTCGTTCGCACTTTCTCTGTTTGCTGCGGGTAATTAGCCGGGCTTTTGGAGTTTATATGCATTTAGTGCTGTAGAGAATTCTATTGCGAACACAATGATACAAAATTTAATCTCGTAGAACGAGAATTAAGGTGACAAAGTTGAAGAGAGTATACACTTTTCAGAATTTACGCACGCTCCCGTGACACCCTGGGACCCATATCGCACAGTTGAGGGGTGGCACGCGGGGTACGCCAAAGTGTTAAGAAGCACATCAACAAACTGGAAAATGTGCAAAGACATGCTACTAAGTGGTTCCCAGAACTGAAGGGCAAGAGCTACAAGGAGAGGTTATAGGCATTAAATATGCCAAAACTAGAAGACAGAAGAAAAAGAGGTGATATGATCACTACATACAAAATAGCAACAGGAATTGATAAAATCGATAGGGAAGATTTCCTGAGACCTGGAACTTCAAGAACAAGAGGTCATAGATATAAACTAGCTAAACACAGATGCCGAAGAAATATAAGAAAATTCACTTTTGCAAACAGAGTGGTAGACGGTTGGAACAAGTTAGGTGAGAAGGTGGTGGAGGCCAAGACCGTCAGTAGTTTCAAAGCGTTATATGACAAAGTGTTGGGAAGACGGGACACCACGAGCGTAGCTCTCATCCTGTAACTACACTTTATAATTACACTTAGGTAATTACACACACGCACACACACACACACGCGCGCGCGCAATAATAAGCACAACACAGACATATAGGTATAAGTAAAAGCATGCATGCATGGAATACTCGACTGTGAGTCGAGAACGAACCCGACTGTACTATCAGGACCCTCAGGTTAAGGAAAATGAGTTTTCCTCAACTTATGAGGAGTTATGAGTTACAAGGAAAACTAAAAGAAATATTTCTTCAGTCACTGGAAGATTAAAGAATCAGAGGAGATATGATTATTACATATAATATTCTCAGAGGAATAGATACAATAGACAAGGTCATTATGTGGAATAGGGTTACATGAACAAGGGTTCACAGGATAAAACCAGTACTGTACTCAAATGAGCTACATTGACATTATAAATTTTTGTAAAGTGTCATTATTGGGAAGAGAACAAATAGAATGTACTACCTAAATGGTGAAGAGATGCAAGCAGACTTCATACACAGTTTTAAATGTAAACATAACGTAGTCCAAAAGGCTTGGGAACCTTAACCCTCAAACCGCGCATATCATATATAAATGATATCAGTGACAAAACCGAAACCTCGCACATCATTTATATATGATTTCGTGTCTAGCGCTATAATTTAAATGCCCTGCCTGGGATAGGGGCAGCTATAGTACAGCCACGACCAATAGTTGCCAGATGCCACCTAGAAAAAAAATCCAGGCCAACATTCTTGGGTGTTACAGCGTCAGTATTGAGCAAGCCACCAAGGCTGGCGCACGCAGCATGAGCTCACAGCACCGCTGTTCAGCTTGTGACCACAGCATCGCCTACAAATACCATAATATAAATGATACTGCTATTATTTAGCAGTGATAGTATTACTGAAGCCCCCTGACTGTGATAAAACTGACCAGGATACTGATAATAGCAGGATTGTGGTGATATTTAGCGCTGTGCTCCATGGAGGGAGGAGTAAGGCTGTGGAGGGAGGGTTGTGGCGTCATCTTCTGCCTGTGTGTGGCCATCATTTATTGACTGCACTCACCATACCAGCTTAGTGGTTCGCTATGGTGAACACAAATGTAGATACTTATATATAACGTGTGTATAGAGTGTGATGACAGCGAGAGGAGTAGGTTGGGAGCCGCCATTTTGGTGAGGGAGGAGCGTCGTCTGCACGACCTGGCATGGTGTTTACTGATGGCCACTATGGTCTTTGGGCACCATACCAGCTTATTTGTTCAGGTATGGTGAATAAAACAGGTAGATACTTATATATAATGTGTGTATATAGCGTAATAACACCACAAACAATATTGTTGGAGGACAAATATTAGTGCGTCTGGCCTTGAGGGCGGCCGCCGATCAGCTGACTGTGTGAGTAGCTACGTCTTATGGCATTTACTCACCATACAAGCTTAGATGTACAGTTATGGTGAACAAAACATGTAAATACGTATATATAACGTCTGTGTATAGTGAATAAATACAGAAAGAGTATTGTGGGAGGTGAATGAGGGTGAGTGAGGTGGTGTTGAGGGAGGGAGTGGCAGTGAGTGGCTCGCTGGTGTTTGGCGATCACTCCTCGTTGCTTTTTGACTCACAAGATCAACTTAGTAGTTTGTTATGGTGTACAAAACATGCAAATACTTATATATAACCTGTGTATATAGTGTAACAACAGCAAAACTATTTGTTTATTGTTTTATGAACATAATAATTGAATCACTAATATGCACACCATAATTTTGAGTACAGCGATGGTTCACACATTTTATAATATAAATATACCACAATTCACTGTATGGAATAATATTACTGCAAAAAAATTAAGAAAAAATCAATCAGAGACATTGAAATAATTAGGTAATAATATATTTGTGGCAACTGCCGTCTGACAGCTCGGGCGGAGCAGACCTCGTCTGGCGAAGGCTCTGCCAACGCCCCTTTTTTGCCACACTCCCCTACCCTATTTCGGCTAAAATATGCCACCTACAATTTTTTTGTTATTTTTTCCGTGATAGGGAACAAAAATGAACACTTCTATAAGACGAAAGAATTTTTTGGATTTTTTTTTTTTGTTGCGCCTGTGGGTGTGAATTCCATTTGGGCCCCTAGCAGTTTGAGGGTTAACACCAGTTGAATAAAGGTTTAAAGAATGCATGGACTTTAAGCATATGAGAAATCTTAAAAAATTTAATTTAATTTAATTCAGAAGCCTCTCACCTCAACAGCATCTGGCAACTTTCCAAGCAGTGCAAGACATTCCACGAGTATTGCCATGAAATGCTGCGAGTTGGCCTCAGGGTCTGTACCGGTGACGTCTTCTTGTAGCCCCTCTCCATCCACCGCCCCCCTGAGGATGACCAAGCTCTCTCATGAGACTTACAATTTTATTGCACTCATGCAGTGAAAATAACTGTACACCTAAACAATATTCACCTTAATTTAGTATCCTACTACCACAATGCTTCATTTGGGCCAAAACAAAATGTTATACTATAGTATACAAGATAAGAGGCTGTCAAGATGTAGACAGAGAGAACACAAGGTTTTTACAAAGAATATAAAATTATTAAGAATTTGATTTTCTCCACATAATTTATGTTTTATATTCATCTCTTTACTTTTTAATCATACAGGTACTGTATTCCATTTTCTTCTCAATAAGGCAGAAAAGGGACAAGTTACTAACTTGTTTTTGTTTGGTGTAGTCATCATTTCAAGGAGATTTTTGCGAGCCTTATCTGACTTCCCTGTTCCAAGACTTGCTCGGTCTGACCCCGCCCGTGTGAGGGTGTTGGTCGAGTCTCGGCCTGAACCCTGCCGTCTCAACGCTAGCACTTCCTTCGTCCACCGCTGGTACAGGTGTTTGTGAAGCTCATCTATAAGACCTTCATGAAGTTTCTTGAGCACAGAAGACAAAACACCAGTAAATATACTGTATTATACTTAATGAAATTTAAGAAAGAAAGGTATTTTTATCAGCATTATTCTATTCACAAGAAACTTATTACTGTACATATGCTGGTGAATTGGACACACATTTTTGTTCCAACACCAACACAATATAATGTACTACATATTGTATTTACATGCTCAAAATCATGTTTCCCTCAGTACAAAACCTTAAAAATCATTCAATACATGCATGATGATACATGCAATTTTTTTGTTTAAAAATATTTTTGTAAATTAGGTGCATTTTATATGCCATCAAATAAAGAACATTCATAAACTGTATGAATTATCTACCTACAATAAGGATCCAATTCCCCATTATGAGTTGAGTTATTCATATATACCTGGGTAAATTCTCTCCATACAGTATTTCAAATGCCAGTCTCTGACCAGCATCTGGACCATGTACAGTATAATAAATATCTACCTCTCTTCTGGCATGTAGGTCCAAATTGACATCCTTCAGAGCTTCAACCATCTTAAGGTCTGTGCCAAGACGATTGAGAGAGGTGACCAGTAGCTGCGTAGCATGCAGGTAGTGCTTCTTGTTGATATAGCCCCCGACTCGGTCACCAACATCTCTCACTTCATCACTTGAAAATAGCAAGGAAAACACATAAAAATATAACTAAGAAAATAAGTATTTGTTTATTAATCTTTCTGAAGACATAGTAACTACAGTACAGTATACAGTATTTACATTTTATTTTCTACTGGACATAGGAGATACCATATACAGTACAAATTATCTCTGAGAGTTTTTTCTGTATCATGTCAAATGAAACTATTAGCCAATTCTGCAGAATTGTCCATAATGCACCATAATATTAAATGACTTCAACTGCCAGCCAACAAATAAGATAACATTTGTATATACTGCACATACATCTGTTCCAAGAGAAGCATGACATGCTTATGCTCCACGCCCTCTAGCCAACGCTCCTTCAACTCATCACGTTTGCAGTGTAGAAGACGTTTGCATGCTGCTAAGTTGTCCTTGATGGTGCGGATACGCTTGCGTGATTCTGCAAGACGACCAGACACTTCTCCAAAGATCTAAGAGAAAAACAGAACATAACGCTATTCAGAACGTTGAATAAAACCTCCTCACTTATGTATATTTTATGTAAAGATTTGAATTAAACCAAGTCTTTAGCACTCTCTTAAGTTCATTATTAACGTCTGAGAATATGGTTAGGATGAGGCTTACATCTCCTCCTAACTATATACTCAGACTTTGATAATGCACTCTGGAGAGTGCAGAAGACTTGGTTTAGTTCAAATCTTTTCATAAAATACACATATACATAATTGTTTTTTTTATACTATGTTATTATGTCTGTTATATTACCATTACTTATTCAGAATAACATTAAAATATCTTTTAACACTACCTTTCTGACCACAGTATTTACATTATTAACAGTTAACAAATCTTCATTAATTTTGAGCAATGTGGCTAGCATGCAAAACATTAGCTTTGGTATTTATTATGTTCAACTAAGCTATTTAGAAGGAGCAGTCAGCAATTACAATAACTGTTTGCCAATTACCACAAAATTATTGCATGAATGAATAAAACAAAATAAGTACTGTACTGAAATATGCAATAATATTAGGAATATGGAATAAAACTAAGACCATGAAATAATAGTGTGAATAAGCAAAATATGACATACCGTAATGATGAAGTGTTAAGCATACCTGCATGACATCTTTAAGTGACTGATCATGGTTGGTAATGAGCTGGTCAAGGCGCAGGTCGCTCTTACGGTACTCTCTCTCTAATCGTGCCTTTTCTCGGTCTCTCTGCTCGTTGCTCTCACTGGCAGACAAAGTACGAATCACTGACATTAACAGCCCACTCTGGAAATACAGAAATTAACTGGATTAATAGCAAACTCATTTTGAAATGGATACTTTGTAAAATATACTGAAATACTTAAGATATATATACTGAATATACTTAAGACAGTGTTTAGCATTAAAAGTTTTATTGATTTTCAATATTTATACAGTATATTTTCTTTTCCTTAATATATACTGTATCCTGTATTGTAATGTAATTTGGGTGAGCAATTTTTACCTATACATTAACCAATTTTAAAAACAGAAATCAACAGGATATATGGAGAAAAGAATTACTGTATGTATAATTATGTGAAGTAACTGCATGTGAAGAAAAGAAAATTCAGTACTGAATATACTGTATAGCCATGATAGAGAGAAAAGAACATGAAGAGAATGACTCCAAGTATAGAGCTGACTTAAGTAAGGTAGTACCTGCTGATGAAGTAAGTCAAGAGGTGAAATCGAAGTACTGTATGGAGTGAGGAAATATACGAGAGTAACAGAGCTAGTAGACACATAATGAAAGATTGTAAACTGGCACTTTTGTATTCCTTTGTCAGAAACAGGTATAGTGCATTTGATCTCTACCTTCTTGCAGGCTATATTGAAAAAAAAAAAAATTCAATTTATAGACGTATAACTTGAGAATTGTTTGATTAATGATCCCTAACTCAGCTTAAGGATTGTGGATATGCTGGAAACGTGCCACTGAGGCACTTAGTTATTTGAACACTGACCCATGAGCCACAGCACAACATGAAAACCAAGTAAATTAGAATGTTATCAAAAGATATTGTACAGCTGGGCAGTGAAAAATTTTTTGTCTGTCAATTATAAAGATTCTTTTAAAGTTACTTCACAAAAAGAGATGAACATTTTCCAATATAGTGTGCTTTATAAATAGTTCACAACACATGTATATTGTATATATACCCAGTATGCATGTACATGTAAGAGGCATGCATAACCCAAATTACACTGATTCTATAATTACTCAAATAGCAAACAACAACCAGAAGGAATATATTACAAACCATAATTCTCATCTTTAGTGATTGTTGTCAATAGAAAACTGACTTAATTGACCAGTTACCGCACGTCAAGACAGCCTTCTGATGCCTTGAGTATCAAAGAAGAAATAAGCTATAAGTCTACATGTCTATCTTTTAGTAATTGGTGTTTTCTCTGGCTTTGGTAGTAAAATAATCCAATATTTATTCAATATCCTTAAATAATTTTGTCTAGTTATAAGGTCAAAAATATTAAAACAAAGAACTGAAATGACAATTTGGAATCTGTTTACAAAACTTGTTGTTGTTGTAGGGTTAGGGGTGGCTACAGCAAGGGCCGTATGCATTCCATCAAATTTGACAAAACTTGAAAACCATAAATATTTTAAATATCAATGTAAAATGAGGTCTAAAATGTTCGTTTAGCACGCATAGTTTCGGGCAAGTCCTTAATCTTAATTTTCCCTGGAATACGACCCGCTAAATCGTTTAATAACCAGGTCCCCATTCACTGCTGGGTGAAGAGAGGCGTACAGTAAAGGAATTGCATCTAGTCAATCCTTTCCAGCTAGGATACGAACCCAGGTCAAATCACTTGCGAAACGCGGGGAGAGTGTTTTACCACTGTGCCACGGAGACTGTGTGACACAAGTCAACATATAATTTGGAAATGATATCCTCGTATGGAAGTAACTAGTATTATCAGAGTACTAAGGGGCCAATATAGGGATATGTAGTATATTGGTTTACAACCCATAGGGTTGTAAACCCGTTGAACCGCCTACCCGCCGAAGCCGTAAATGCCAAAACTCTGCTGGGTTTTAAAATACAGCTAGAAAAGATCAACAGGGCAAATGGGGGGACCTTTGACAAACCGCCGGCCTCCTGTCCTTGTCGAAGCCCTCAGGTAAATTCAGCTAAATATGGGTCTACGTCCTCGACTCTTAATCGAAGATCCCGGGCAGGAGAAACAACTGGGGAACGTTTCTTTTGACCTGATGCCTCTGTTCACCTAGAAGTACATAGGTAGCCGAGTTGGGCAGCTGTTATGGGTGGCATTCTGGGAAAAGTTAGTAGTTGACCTAGGAGGGGAGCTCCATAATGCTTCCTGTCCCTGACAAAGGGGATTAACACAAACGTCACTGTCAAGAGCAGCGAGGCCCGGCCACCGAGAGGCCAGTACAACGCTTTATCAATATTTCCAGCCGGGTTCTTCCAAAGGGATGTGAGCATCGCTTCTTTTTTCGTATAATTATGTGAAAAATAATATGTGTTTGAGCCCTACCGACTCCTTAGGGGGCTGTTTGCCTGTTCTGGCAGGTCGTTGGGGCGTTCCTACGTCCGCCATCTTTGTTGACTGTTCGTATGCCTTCACTCAAGAAAAGTAATTAAGATTTTAATTGTCCGATGCCACATTTTTCTTTCATATGGATACAATTAAATGAACTATATAATATTTCTACGGTGGCTATTGTAAATCAGTGTTACAGTAGTCATCACGAGAATGGAATAATATATAAAGAATATGACAACTTGATGTCTCTTCATGACATTCGGACATCGGGGTAAATAGTATCCTAGAGGGGGCTACGAGGGTAATTCTTCGCCAGTAGTATTATGACTCATCCCTAAAACCTATCTTTACATTTAATACAACTAATTACTTAAGTAACTGTTATGTGGGCCTACTCAATAATGTATAATTGTGTATCGCGAGCGCTACAAAATAGTTATAAGATAAACAAGAAATGAATTGGATTATAATGGGCGTGGTTAGTTTAGATAGATTTTAGATTTAGATTTAGATTTTTAATTCAGGTAAAGGTACATACATTGAAGATGAGTTACAAACATAATGTTGGATTTAAGGATAGAGCTAGTACATACAATACCTAAAGCCACTAATATGCATAACGTTTCGGGGAAATTAGATTAATAGTTTGTTATGGACTCCATACCCACCCAGACAGTGATGGAAGGGGTTACTATGGGCCCTCTACCCATCCTGTGGGCAGTGATGGAAGGGGTTACTATGGGCCCTCTACCCATCCTGTGGGCAGTGATGGAAGACGCCACGGAAACGAAAGTGGTCATTCAACTATACAAGTCTCCAATGGGCCTCCATTTCGACCTCTGTATTCAAGCATGGAGACCTCACCTTCAGAAAGACATATCTACTCCGGAGAAAGTTCAACACCGGGCGACAAAAATCATCCCAAAACCTTTCATTACAGGAACAGTTGGGAGCCACAGGACTAAACACTACAAACCACATATGACAGGACCGATCTCATCGAATTCTTCAAAATAATGAACAAGTTTGAGGATATTAATCCAGACCAATTTTCAAAAGGTCACATTTACTCTTACAAGGGTCAATTGCTTCAAGCTGAACAAGCCACAGTGTAGGACAGAAAAGTGGAGACAACCTTCAGAAAAGTGTTACAACCTTCATTGAGGGTTGTAACAGAACCCATGAGCTCCACACCAGAAACAAATACCTTTTTGATATTCCAAGAGTACGAATTAATCAAACTAGAAATGCTCTACAGATCAAGGGACCCAGAATGTGGAATGACCTTCCCAATCATGCTAAAGACTGTACCTCTCTCAACCAGTTTAAGATAAAAACTAAGCACTACCTAATTAACTCCCTGTAACCTACCTTACCCCTATAATGTCAACCCATGTCTGCTATTTTTTAACAATGCTGTTTGTCGACCAAATTGTATTTTTGCTGTTTTTCTGCCATGTTCCCCCTTTTTTTATTTTTTTATTTTCTCAACACATTTTATACTTTAATCTCAATTAGTATTAAGTTTGTCTTTAGTGTTTTTCCTGCCCGAAACGCTTTGCGTAATAGTGGCTTTAGGCATTGTATGTACTAGCTCTATCTATAAATCCATCAATATTTGTATCACACCTTGTATGTATGTACTTTACCTGAATAAACATTTGAATTTGAATTTGAGATGCCTTTGACCCATAGGGTTATAAATCCATGGAACCGCCTACCCGCCGATATTACCTCAGTTTAAAATCCAGCTTCCCATCCCCGTAGAGGCCACTTTAGAGATGATGGCCTTCAGGTAAATATCCTTCCTGTGGACAGTGGTGGAAGGATTACTATGGAATTAATATGCATCCTGTGGAGGGGTCACAGAGTTATATGAAAGGTCCTAGAGTGTATGATATAAATTATATATACTGATATATGTGTCCTGTAATTATATATTCGCACAGGCTACGTTTTTGAGAGTGTTTGTCTTATAAATGTAATGTATATATAATTACAATTAATTGTTGTGGACAGGAAGCGTGTGAATGATGTACTTTAGGCTCGTACTGAGGTCTCACAAGGTGGAACTACTGACCCTCCACAGGATGCAACCCACAACAGTTGTCTAACTCCCAGAGGTACGTATTTACTGCTAGGTGAACAGAGGCATTAGGTGAAGTGAAACGTGCCCAATTATTTCTGTCCCGCCCGGGAATCGGATCCTCGAGTTTGAGTGGAAACTAAGCCAATTGTACTAATTTAAATAAACAAGAAACAAACTCCATGGCTTACCATGAATGGGGTATATGCTATATACCCATCCATATATCATATCAGGATATACTCATCCTGAGAGTGGTTGCAGGATGAGTATAGAGCGACCCATTGTATGGGTTTAGGTACTGGATCCTATAGCTAAGCCTTTGAGCTAAGACATTTACATCCGTGGTCAACAGAATTATGGTTTATATCTAAAATATAGTTACAAGCTGACATTTCTTTTCTCGATGTATGTTTGCGTCTGACTATATATATATGCGTGTGTTTATGTGAGTGTTTTGCCAGCGAGTGGGCCCCCTATATGTGTACGTGTGTATATCAACACAAAAATATACTCACGTGATAAATGCTCTCTTCCTGTGGCTTCACCCAGCTGAGCACGCCCCTGAGGGCCCAGGTCTGGCTGCGACGGCGCCGCCTCACCTCCTCCAGTCCACCAGGGCTTGAACTTGTCATATTTTATCAACAAGTCTCACTCAATATTTAACTCGAGTCATACGTTGAAGCGTAATGAAAAACAATTTAGTTACCCATTAAAGTTTCTCTCGAATCTTCATTTTCTGCCTTTTTTTTTACTCAGATAGAGTTTTCTGTAATTTAATTGATTGTCTAAACAAATATTTAATATTTCGTATGTAGTACAAATGTATAAGTTACCATTCTGTTATAGAAATGGCAAGGAAAATAGTCACAAAGAATCAGTTAACCCCCTAAAAAACAAAAAAACAAATCAGCTGTGTTCTCTCCAAAGAATCGTAGCTTATCCCTTAAGTGGCCAATAGAGTTTAAGCCCAGCAAGTGCAAATAAATGCATTTACCTAGTTGTGCTTGCGGGGGTTGAGCTCTGCTCTTTCGGCCCGCCTCTCAACTGTCAATCAACTGTTTCTACTACTACTTTTTTTTCCACACCACACAGGAAGCAGCCCGTGACAGCTGACTAACTCCCAGGTACCTATTCACTGCTAGGTAACAGGGGCACAGGGTGAAAGAAACTGCCCATCGTTTCTCTCCGGCGCCCGGGATCGAACCCGGGACCACAGGATCACGTGTCCAGCGTGCTGTCCGATCGGCCACCGGCTCCCCACATCAGTTGGATGTTGGAAGCAGGCTGCCTCCCTCCCACAAGCTCCCACAAGCGCCTACGACACTGTTGCCTCGGCACACGACTGACACACACTAAACACGGCCGCCACCACAACCAAGTCTTGGGGCAATTATACTGGACCATCTTGTGCGTGTCTTGTGTGTTGTGTCATGTGGTGACATGCCTGTGTCATGTGTGTGTGGTGACATGCCTGTGTCATGTGTATATGGTGGCATGCCTGTGTAATGTGTATATGGTGGCATGCCTGTGTCATGTGTATGTGGTGGCATGACTGTGTCATGTGTATGTGGTGGCATGCCTGTGTCATGTGTGAGTGCCATGCCCAATTAGACTCGTCCAGTGCCCCCTGACACAGCCCGCCAAAACCGTCGGCGCCGCACGCCGACTCCCCGCCCCAAGACCCAACCGGAAAACGGACTTAATTCAAATTCAAATGTTTATTCAGGTAAAACTTAAAACTTAAAACATATGACTTAACACATATTAACTTGCCTGTGACGCCTGGCGGTGATTCGTGCGTGACAATCCCGGTGGTTGAGGAGGAGTGGGCGCCCAGTGGTCGTTGTAACCACTGCTCAGTGCTGCTCACCGCTGTTCAGTGCTGCTCACAGCTGTTCAGTGCTGTTCACCGCTGTTCAGTGCTGCTCACCGCTGTTCAGTGCTGTTCAGATCTGTTCAGCACAGCAGCATTGCTCATAACTGCTCAGCACGTCGCTATACTTGAATATATTACAGCTATGAATTATCGTTAATTCATATATTGATTCATTGGGTTATTGTTGATGGTGTTGTTGTTCGTGGCTCCTTGACACGTGTGTCAGTGCTGGAATGTGTCATGTGCCGCTGTGTCATAAATGTGTCAGTGTTAGTATGCCACGTGTCAGCGTCAGTGTCATGTGTCAGATGGTGTGTCATTCATCACCTGATGTTGCGAGTCAGCTGGTGTCATGGGTGTGTCATATGTGTCAGGAGGAGTGTTGCCACGCATCAGTTAGTGTTATGGGGTGTGTCACATGTGTCAGTTGGTGTCAAGAGGCAGTCTGCCATGATTCATCTTGTTGGAGTTCAAGTGGATGATTAATGACCTTCATTGCTGCAGTTATGGCAGTTCTCTCTCTCTCTCTCACTCTCTCTCTGGCCCCCTATCTCTCTCTCTCTCTCTCTCTGTCTCTGTCTCTGTCTCTCTCTCTCTCTCTCTCTCTCTCTCTCTCTCTCTCTCTCTCTCTCTCTCTCTCTCTCTCTCTCTCTCTCTCTCTCTCTCTCTCTCTCTCTCCCAACAAGTTTAAAATTCATAATTTGTGTGACGTCACAAATGTAACGGTCCTCTGCAGGTTCTGCTGTCTGCTGGGAAGCTCACGAGGCTTCAAGTGGCAGAGAGGTGCGTGTGTCTAGCTCTGCTGGAGCTACCCCTCTCGATCTGTAGTTATTATGCTCTCTGAGTGTTGTCTTGGTGTTATTATGCTCTCTAAGTGTTGTCTTGGTGTTATTATGCTCTCTAAGTGTTGTCTTGGTGTTATTATGCTCTCTAAGTGTTGTCTTGGTGTTATTATGCTCTCTGAGTGTTGTCTTGGTGTTATTATGCTCTCTAAGTGTTGTCTTGGTGTTATTATGCTCTCTGAGTGTTGTCTTGGTGTTATTATGCTCTCTGAGTGCTGTCTTGACGTTATTAAGCTCTCTGAGTGCTGTCTTGACGTTATTATGCTCTCTGAGTGCTGTCTAGGCGTTATTATGCTCTCCGAGTGCTGTCTTGATGTTATTATGCTCTCTGAGTGTTGTCTTGGTGTTATTATGCTATCTGAGTACTGTCTTGACATTATTATGCTCTCTGAGTGCTGTCTTGGTGTTATTATGCTCTTCTGAGTGCTGTCTTGATGTTATTATGCTCTCTGAGTGCTCTCTTGATGTTATTATGCTCTCTGAGTGCTCTCTTGATGTTATTATGCTCTCTGAGTGCTCTCTTGACGTTATTATGCTCTCTGAGTGTTGTCTTGGTGTTATTATGCTCTCCGAGTGCTGTCTTGGTGTTATTATGCTCTCTGAGTGGTCATTTATGTTTTTGTGCTCTCCGAGTGCTATTTTGACGTTATTATGCTCTCTGAGTGGTACATTGACGTTATTATGCTCTCTGAGTGGTACATTGACGTTATTATGCTCTCTGAGTGGTATATTGACATTATTACGCTCTCTGAGTGCTATTTTGACGTTATTATGCTCTCTGAGTGGTACATTGACGTTATTATGCTCTCTGAGTGGTACATTGACGTTATTATGCTCTCTGAGTGGTATATTGACATTATTATGCTCTCTGAGTACTGTTTTGACGTTATTATGCTCTCTCTGAGTGCTATCTTGAAGTTATTATGCTCCCTGAGTGCTATTTTGACATTATTATGCTCTCTGAGTGCTGTCTTGACAGTATTATGCTCTCTGAGTGCTATCTAGATGTTATTATGCTCTCTGAGTGCTATTTTGATGTTAATATGCTCTCTGAGTGCTATCTTAATGTTATTATGCTCTCTGAGTGCTATCTTGAAATTATTATGCTCTCTGAGTGTCACTGCGAGCCTTAAGGTTATTATCCTCTCTGAGTGCTGCAGTGACATTTAAGTTATTATGCTCTCTGAGTACCGCTACGGGATTACAGTTATTATGCACTCTGAGTGCCGCTGTGAACAAGTTAAGTTTCTGCGTGGCTCTATATATTTATTAAGTTATTATACTATGAGCGAGAGTGTGTAATTTCAGTGTTTACGGTCTAATTATCCCCGTCATTTTTAAGGATGAAAGTTTTCGGAATGATTGCGGGGGCTTGGTTGCCATGGGGTGAGTTTCTTGGTTAGTATATATTTGTACTAATTTATTTATTTATTGACAAGTAGGTGCAATGGGTTTGTGTTATTATTGGCTTATGTGATTAGTTTGTACATCGTCCTAGAGCCATAATTGGTACCACAAGTTCATGCTCTGTAAGTGGCCCTATTTTTTATGGGGGAGTTAATATGCTCTCTGAGGGGCCCCTTGGTCTAGGTATTAATGTGCTGTCTGAGTGGCCCTATTGCCGGCAGGTTAATATGCTCTCTGATGTAGCGTGATCAATGTTTAACCGGTCATTTTATATGTGTTATGAGTGGTTTTTTGTCTTCTTTAGTGGTCATTATGCTCTTTGGTTGTTCATTATCTTTTCTGAAGTATTATTATGTTCCCTAAGTGGTCATTATGCTCCCTAATGTCATTATTTAATGGGTTGCGAGGTACACTTAGCTTCCTTCTCGACTCTCAGCCGAGAATCCCAGGTTTGATTCTCGAGCGGGACAGAAATGGTTGGGCACGTTTCTTTTCACCTAATGCCTGTCTTCACCTAACATTGTACCTAACAGTAAATAGGTACAACGGGAGCTAGGCAACCGTTGTGGGATAGCACACGGGCGCCTGACAACTGAGTGGACAGCGCTTCGGATTCGTAGTCCTGAGGTTCCGGGTTCGATCCCCGGTGGAGGCTAAGACAAATGGGCAAAAAAGTTTCTTTCACCCTGATGCCCCTGTTACCTAGCAGTAAATAGGTACCTAGGAGTTAGACAGCTGCTACGAGCTGCTTCCTGGGGTGGGGGGGGGGGTAACAAAAAGGAGGCCTGGTCGAGGACCGGGCCGCGGGGACACTAAGCCCTGAAATCATCTCAAGATAACCTCAAGAAGATATCATCCTGGGAAGGGTCAGTAGTTCCACCTTGGGGAAAAATATGATATATGCCTTGAGTATATTCATGCTCAGCTAGGCTTCCTCTCCCTCAGAAAACGAAATGGTAAATATCATATATAAGAAATTCAGCATAATTCTAGTTTATATAAGTCTCGATATATACAATTATTTTTTAGGGTATATTAGTATTATTTTTTTGGCCGGAGAGGATCTTAACTCTTGGATATGACACAAAAGTATAAAAAAAATTTCTTGTATAAAGTTGGCCTGGAGGAGATTACGGGCGTCTCGGGTGAAATTAGCGGCTGTACTTCCGCTGGAACATAGAAAAAACGACACAAACTTGAGCCACGATGGGACAAAACTTGGCACAATGGTACAATCTATCACACACAAGGCGGGTGTGGCGCGCTCCTCATTGGTTGGCGAGAGGAGCTGAATTGAGCCAATCTGGAGGAGCACGACACCAATTTCTCCAAGTCGCCATGTATCCGCCTCTCCTATTGGTCGGAAAACATTTCCAAACGTTGACATTATTTTATTAAATACGGTGTTGATATGTCCTCGGAAATGGGTTCATTATTACCATTGGCTTATTAATTTCACCAATTAAGAGGCACTTGGTTGGTTTCTTGCCCTACTTTTCCCGCCATTGACTTAATAATGGCAATAATTAGTGCACAAAGAAACCACATTAACGTGTTGTATTAACGAGAAAATCAGGAGAGCTATGATAAGGGTTCGAATCTATGCGCGGGGTAGTCTCAAGGAAACGCCTTAGACCACTGTATCACGACATAGTCAAAAAAGTAATATAACCTGGGATTCAGCTGAATCCGCTAGTGGTTTCTGAGGCTTACATTGAAGCCTAATCCAATGTTTCACACGCATAGCCTTCATGCACACGTGGAAACATCACGCTATGGGATTTATTTGTGCATTCAAAGAGAAGTGTAGGCGGCAGACTTCCTAATTTACAAGCCACAGTGCCATTGTTATTATTGGTAGTGTTCACATCTACTTTT